CAGAGCCTGGTGTGTACAGCACAGCCAACCATGGCACGCAAGGAGAAATGCTGGGAGTTGCCTATTTCTGTACTCACCCACAGGAGTTTGTCTGCCTTTGAGTGGGAGGAGGAATAGACTGGCTCATCCAGTGGCCATAAAGAAAGCACTGTGAGGGAGTTCCCACCAAACAGGAGGAGGTAAATCACACCGATGCCAGAGCAGGGAAAGCTGGGTTGGGATGCAGCGTCCTCTGCAGTGAGGGGTAGTGTGGGAAGATGGCTTGGGGAGTGCCTGGAGCAGTCCAGGAGAACCAGCTCCATCCACCCAGGACCAAGTGACGTGAGTAAAGCCTGATTTTCTAAGAGTCAAGATTAACATTAGACGTATGAAGGCTGCTGGAGGAACAGGAACCTCTGGAAGACACACAGACATGGTCAGGAATAAGGATGGAAAGTAATGGGACAAGTGTGAGAGCGTGCAATAACATCAAACAAATGCAACAAGGAAGAAAGTTAATAACTGAAAGACAGTTGGTGCAGTTAGTGGGCAGCAAATTATGGCGTGGTGTGCTGCAAGGAGAACTGCTGGGAGCACGGGGTTGGGTTTCCTTCTTCAATTTGGGTTCCCCCAGATCAGCATACAGTTCAGCGTTGCATTCTATCATGGGTATCCCTGGGTGGTGCCTAAGGGGCATCAATTCCTGGAATAACTGCCATCCATGTGCAATAGCTGCAGTCTCTCTGCCTGCAGGAGGTTTTGTACCTTCTGTGTCACGCTGAGCTGGTGCTGATATGAGATACATGCATATACAAAGGTATACAAAGGTTTGTTCTGAGCGCTGAATCACTTTCATCCCTGTTTTCAGCAATCTATCAGGTGGGAGAGAATCATCTTATCAACCACAGCAATGAAAGCCAGTGTAGAGTCCTTTTCTGCAGCACAAAAGGTCATTCTGTTATTTGCAGAATCTATAACACCAATCTGTAGCAAGCCAAAGAGTTTTCTTCCCTTCTCCTCCCAGCTCAGGACATGGGATGAAAAATGAGCAAGGGCCAACAGAGATGGCATCTTGCTTGGGGGACAGCACTGTCTGCATATCCAGTTCTTCTCCATTTCCCGCAGGAAAATCTCCTGGCTGTCTGGCAACACATCAGAACAAGACTTTCTGAGCCAACCTCTAAGCTGAGGCCCGCAGCCATAATGAAGCAACAGAATTTGCCGTGTGAGTGTTCATTGTGCAACAATTTCATTGTCAAGGATTTATTGTTGTCGTTTGCTATTGCACAATACCAAATGAAGAGAGAAAGAAGGGTGGGGGACAACTAAATGAACATGACAGAATTAGGTTTTCAGTGTTCTGAGGTTTCTAATGAGAATTTGACTGCTTTGTCCATTAGTGAACAAGTGGCTCTGCTGTAGCTGTTGATTCAACAGCCAAATGGATTTTATTTTTTAATTTAAAATTTCACAGAGCGATGGAATCATCAAGGTTGGGAAAGATTTATCATGTTATAAGATGCTTCTTGAGCAGTGTAACAAATGCAGGATGCCTTGGTTTAAATCATGATTGATAGCTCAGATTGAACCCATTCAAGTCCCACAATCTGATGAGCCAAATTATTAATGGCTATGGGAAAATCCACTACAGATGAGCAATAGTTTTGGAGAAGCAGGAAGAAATCCGCTGCTGTGTGTACCTTGCACTGACCAAGTAGTTGATCATTTCAGATTACAATGAAGTATGTAATTCCTGAAGCACACATGTGGAAACCTTAATGGCTTCAATTACCAGTGATCATGCAAGTCATGGAAACCATGGAGAGAAGGCAGAAAGCTAATTCTGTGATAGGGAAGCTCAGAGCAGGAAGAACCTTCCAGGATCTGTGGCTAACTCACTAGGTATTTATGAAATACAGCTAAAAACCTGTTTAGGCCACTGAAAATAAAAAGGAACACCCCTTCCCCTCAGTCAAACCAACCTTAACCCAAGTGTAACCTTCATGTTAACTTGTTTGTCCAGTTCATTCACTTCCTATTATTCCTTGGATCATACTTTGAATAATTTCCATGATTTGTTTCTTAACAAGACCTGCCCCTTTTGATGTCATCAATTTGATCCATATAGGCTGGAGAGCTCCAGCCTATCTCCAGTAAGAACAGGCAGCCCCAAAGTGTGGCACCAAGATTTTCTTCTGTCCAGAGCTGAAGGCTGAGCTCAGTGCCTGCTCTAAACACTCAAAGTTTCTGCCAAGGTACGGTAGGGGTGGTTTGCAATTTGGTCTTTGTTGTTTTGCTGTGTCTTTCTGGATCTATGTACAACTGATTTGTAGCTCTAGGTCTATACACACATGCTTCAATATTTGCCTGCATGATGTTTGTGCCCTTGCTCAGGTGTTTAACATGTTGAGTGTGAAGTTGCTGTGATGACAGATGAGCATACACCTGTTTGGGGGTTGGAAGTTGATGATCTTTGAGATCCCTTCCAACCCAAGCCATGCTATGACTCTGTGATTCAATGATTCTGTGATTCTGTGATTCTGTGATTCTATGATTCTATGATTCTATGATTCTATGATTCTATGATTCTATGATTCTATGATTCTATAACCTGCAGCCTCTCTCCAAGCATCTATTGCCAACAGGATGGACCACTGCTCACTGCTCTAAGCACTGTGATAAGTGAGATAGGGACAGGCTGACCTGGGAGATGGATGAGAGAGGATTGCCTGTACACGTGCTCTGAAAAGCTCCCTGTTATCCTGCATTGCTGTACTGCCTTTTCCCATTTTGGTCTTGCAGTTTTCATTTCCAGCACTTAAGGAACTCATTCAACATATGAGTTGAGTAATGTTGCATAAGATGAGGGTTGAATGTAGCTTAGCATAACATCTAACCAAAAATGTGTGATCTGAGGACTCATTTCCAGTTTGCCATGGATAATCCCTTTGATCAGAGCACTCAGTTGGAAACCTTTAGGCTGGCCAAGTGGATCTGTTTTCTGTGGCTCTGTGTGGTCTGGAGGTTGGAACTTGGTGATTCTTGAGGCGCCTTCCAACCCAAGTCATCCTATGATTCTATGATTTATGTATGTTTAACTATTTCAGCACAATATTTCTTGTAGAGAAAGTGGAACTGCTCATCTCCTACTTCAGGTCTTTTTCACGTGTTTTATTTGGTCATGCTTTCTATTTACCAATATATTCCACTCTATCTGGACTTTCTGTACTTGTTGCAAATGAACTGTTTTAAGAAAACTGAAAAAGCATTTGTCATGTTTAATTATAAAAGTAGATAGGAGCTGCAAGGGGCCTTGAGTTAGTTTTGTATTACTGTTAAATGATACCTCAAAACACAAACATGGATGTGCTATGGTCTTTAAGGATAATAGCCAGCACCAGGCTGGGTTTCCTTGTCAGATAAAATAGTTAATTGTCATAAAGCTGATCCAGCATACAGCTTTGTGGAGCACTGTGCACTCTTTAACAATTGTTCTTAATGAATGACGTGAAAAGGTACAATGAAAAAGCTGCCTTAACAGCTTGCAATTCTTTAAGATCTATCAAATATATACCTAAAACACCCTGGTCCTTTGAGATAAAGCCATATTTCAGCATGGGGAGGTCGAGTTGAGGAGGAAGGCACTGAAGATCAGGACACTTCATGCACCAGCTGAACTGGGTACGCTCCTTGGTTGTTCACTTGAACAGTGCTTTGGTTATTTGTGCACTCATTTCTTGGCTTCAAACACTGTTACTGCATTATACCTGGAGTTAAGGTTGGAGTGAAGTGTTGCACTCAGCAAATTTCTCCTAATAGCGTCATAGTCACGGTGATTCACAAAGAGCTGTCATGTTGGAAACTCACATATTGCAGGACTTGATGGCATACTTCCACTTACTGAACGTGACAGCTGATACTGAAACGTAGGGAGATGCCATCAGACCATGCTGACTAAAGCACGAGCATAAATAATGTTCACATTTCCATCAGCACAATCCAGGGGTAATTTAGAGCAGCAGAGCAGCCTGTTTAGTTACCATGATGAAGGAGAGGTGGATTTTGATTTCCAGTTTGGCCACTCTTGGATGATGCTCAATCTCGGTTCTTCCTTTTCACTTCTCTAAAATAAACATTCATAAAATGATTTGTAGGTGCTTGGAAGAAACTGTTTATGTAAAAGATACGTGGTAGAATTTCTAATAGCAGCAATTCATCTAACTGTGGTCTCCAGAAACAACCCAAAGGCATTTCATTTTAAGTAGGGCCTGCAGTGCTTAATCCACTTCTCAGTTTGGTTCATTCCCTCTGTGGTTTCAACTGAGGTGGTGGAATTCTCCGCTTCTTTTCCCAAATTCCTAATTATGTCCACCTGTGTTGGTATGCCCATGGTGTATTTCAGAGATGGCAGATGTGAATCTTCCATTCTGCAGAACACGAGACCATGAGAAAGTTCAAAACAGATCCCAGTTTGTCCCTTGCACACACACTGCAGTCTCACTCTTTGATTCCCTGCCCATGCTGCTGGTTAAGAGACAGTTTCAGGTTTCCCAGCCTAGTGGGTTCCACCTGTAATTTGCTCATGTTAACGAACTAGTGAATGAACAGTATTGATAAATGGTGGTACAACACTTCAGAACTGAGTGTTGGTCCTTCATGTTCTTAGAAAGAAGGAAGCTGCACAAGCCTTGGGCTGCAGACTTCTCAGCAGCGTGGGGATTAGTCACATTAACTTTGCATAGCCACACTAACAGAGATGTCATAGGGTGAGTGATACAAACACCTGAAGTCACTCAGGCAGTGGCACGCACAACATTCGGTTTCTTTTCTGCTCTCTGCTGTCCAAACTCTGGGAATAGGGATGCAGGCCAGCTTACTGCTGCTTTCAGCTTTTGCCAACAACAAACTCATTGGCACCCCATTGGAAAGCATCTGCAGATCAGCAGTGGTCTTTCTGGAAAGCTAAGATCTTTTTTTTCTTTTTTTTCCCCCTTTTTGTTGAACAGAAACAGACTTAAAGGATGGAGCAGGAAGCTGCAAGAGAGGAGGAAGAGAGAAAAGAAGGCTTGATAGAGTTCTATGATTCCTTCAAGGACATGTTTGAGTTCTTCTGTAAGAACACCACCATCCACGGCACCATCCGCCTCGTGTGCTCAAGCAGCAATAAGATGAAGACAGCTTTCTGGACTCTGCTCTTACTTGCCAGTTTTGGCATGCTGTACTGGCAATTTGCACTCATGTTCAGCCAATACTGGGCCTACCCTGTTGTCCTGACCATGTCCATGCATTCAGAGGCCAAGATGTTTCCAGCAATTACCATCTGCAATCTGGATCCATACAGGTAACCCGAGCTTCCCCTTGCTTGCAGCCCTGTCCCTAGCTACAAGAGCCCAGAGATGGTCACAGCTGACTGAATCTGGAGAAGGTTGACGTGATTTGGGTGGGCAGTGGGAAGAGCTCATGAGATGGAGAAGGACTGTTGTTCGAAGCCAGGTTGGATGGGGTCCTGGGTAGCCTGATCTGGTGGTTGGCAGCTCTGCCCAGTGATCCCCCTCTAACCCAAGCCATTCTGGGATTTGATTCTACGATTCTATTTCCAAACTGGTTTTCAGACCAGATCTTTTTTGTAGTTGTGCAACAGTTTATCTCGTGCAATGATTCAAGATCAGAACTCTGCCTTGCTGCCTGGTCTGAGTGCTCCCTGATTTTGTGCTCTGATAAAAATAGCCCGTCCCCAGAACACACAGCTACTGCATGCATTTGTCCACAGCTCAATCACAGTGCACTGGAGTGATGCATGCTAAGATTCTGCCTCCTCGTTTGTTCAGACAAATGGCTTTAAGGAAGCAATAAAACTTCCATTGAAGTCTGCGTGACTGTGCTCGCCAAACACGGCTCACACAGTTGTGTGACTTATCAAGGGGTTTTAAATTCCATCGTGAGGGAATTATGTAATTTCCTCAAAATAATTATGTAATTGGCTGACAGGAAGGCCTGTTTGTGCAGCTGGTTTGCCTAAGAGACACGTGGATATTCACAACGAGCCGATATCTCTTGTCCTCACAGATTTGATCTGGTTAGTGAGCACTTGGTGCAATTGGATCGCATGGCAGAGAAATCTGTTAGTGTTCTATATGGCATCAACACGTCTGCCAGCTTATTCCACGTCAACGAGAACAGCATCCACATGAGAGACTTGCCAAGCACAGGCAACCACAACAGATCCAGCTTCAAACTGAGCCAAAACTTCTCTCTACTGAGAACAACTGAGTTCAATAATAGGACAGGAAAGAGACAATCTCTTGTGGGCTTCAGGCTGGTAAGTGTGGGTCCTCTTGGGGATGTGAACCTGTCCCCATGGAGCTAGGAACCCATCACACTCTACATGAGCAAGGAAAGAATCATAGCATCATAGGATCATGGCTGTGCTGAATGCCTCCCTCTCTTCTTCTCTCTCAGTGCAATGCCACAGGTGGGAATTGCTTCTACAAGACCTATTCATCTGGGATGGATGCAATCCTTGAGTGGTACAGGTTTCACTACATGAACATCATGTCCCAACAGCCAGTTATAATCAACATTTCTGATCACGAGGAGAAGATAGAAGACATGGTTTATTCCTGTCAGTACGACGGGGAGCCCTGCAGGCCCAGGTACTCTGCTGCCTCAGAGACTAACGAGGATTTCAGCAAAACTCAAGGGCTTGGGAGTCTGAAACTGAGCCTACATCTGACATATTGCAAAACTGATTGGAATCCCTCTTTGTTTCAGTGACTATGTTCACTTTCACCACCCAGTCTTTGGAAGCTGCTATACTTTTAACAGCAAGGGAACAGACTCCTTCTGGACAGCAACAAAACCAGGAATTCCTTATGGTATGTTATTTGGCAAAGGGTGGGAAGAAGACGTGCAATAGTTACCTGACCATCCCCCAGTTGTCTAAGGAACACCAGTGCCTCTTCTGTGAGCCAGGAGAGCAGTTCCATCAGTGCTGAGAATTCAAGACTGGTGATATTCCTATTTTGACCCCAAATAATTTGTGTTAAGCTTCTTCTTTGTCTTGCAGGACTTTCCCTTATCCTGAGAGCAGAGCAGAAGGATCACATCCCACTCCTGTCTACAGTAGCAGGTGTGAAAGTGATGATACACAACCACAACCAGACACCATTCCTCGAGCATGAAGGCTTTGACATCCGACCAGGCATTGCCACCACCATTGGCATCCAGCAGGTTGGCTGCTGGCTTGAGAGCTGTCTCTTCCTTCTGATGGCAGAAAGCTATGGAGGAGCTGAACTGTGTGTTCTGTTAGCAAAGCATATATATATATTTCTGTCCTTCCTGTCCTTTATGTGGTGCTCCATCCAGACAAGTTTAGATGACAATGGCTAGGGCCATCAATTAAGGCTGCTAATCACTCAGGCCTTTCTTCTGTGTCCACAGGACAAGGTGAATCGCCTGGGTGGCAATTATGGGAAATGCACAACAGACGGCAGTGATGTGAAAGTTAAACTCCTTTACAACTCCTACACCCTGCAGGTATTGTCACTGTGGCTGGCCAAATTCCCCATGTATTCAGCAAACAATTCATCCCTTTCTCTCCAGAGAGCTTGTACTAAAGATCTGAGCACTGGAGAACTGATGGTTTATCCATTCTTTTGTGCCTTATTTTTTTTCCAGGCTTGTCTGCATTCCTGCTTTCAGCACATAATGGTTCAAAAATGTGGCTGTGGGTATTACTACTACCCACTGCCTCCTGGGGCTGAGTACTGCAACTACAACAAGCAGCCTGCGTGGGGTAAGGGAAAACATGTTCTCCTGTCCCCCATCAGCAGGGAGCACCTTCCCAGAACAGACCCTGGCTATATATGTGCCTCCTTTGATTGCTGCCCTTCTGCTTTGTGCTTCAGCCTGTTTGCTCACACCACTGAATCCATCCAGACTGGCAGGTGTCTGTCTGCGTGTTTGCACAGATACCAAGTTGGAGCATGAAAAATTGTGATGCTATCAAGCATCACCATGTTCTTAAGGCAGGGTCTGTCTGAGGGGATGCTGTGTGTCTGGGTTGAGGAAGATTGGGCAGAGGTTTGGGGAGTTTGGGGAGTTTGCTCACCTTCCTTTCCCTGCATTTCTCTTCCACCAGGCCATTGCTTTTACCAGCTGTACAGCAGGCTCAGGAACCACCACCTGAATTGCTTTGACCAGTGCCCCAAGCCTTGCAGGTAGGTCATGGAAGTAGAGCACGATCAATGCCAGCTTTCAAAATGGAAGGAGATGCTTTGAAAGCAAAGTATCATAGAATCACGATTGAGTTGGAAAGGACCCTTAAAGGTCATCTCGTTCAACTCCCCTGCAGTGAGCAGGGATGTGCCTTGTTTCTGAACACTATGCCAAGAGTCACAGTGATTGTAGTCTCCATTTTTGTCCTAACAGGGAGTCGCTGTACAAGGTGTCTGCTGGGACAGCCAAATGGCCATCGGAGAAGTCTCAGGTAGTCCATACAGACAGCTGTGGGGTTTAGAGGTGGAATTGTATCCACGTAGCTATGGGAACATTGAAAATAAAAACAAAGACTAAGGCAACAGCAATGAAAGAAGTAAATAAAGCAAATTGGTCCCAAACCTGAGCACAGGGAAAGGACTCCATAGCTGAGATGCCAGACTGAGATTCTGGAGAGGCACATTCTGTTCCAGCTCTAATCCAAACCTCCTTGTGACCCAAAACAACGCAAGCCACTGCCTGAGTTCCCACCTACAAAATGGCATTAATAACTTTCTGCTTCCAGAGGGTGTTGTGGTGTAGTAACTCACATGTCACTGTGTCTGAGGTCCTGCACTGGAAGCTCTGTGAGTCAAGAGATGACCTTTACAAAATATTAAACATAATGAAACTCAAACGCAGGATTGTCACTAATATTCATGTATGTGCTGCAGGACTGGATCCGCCAAGCTTTAAGGCATCAGAATGGATATAATTCTACGAGCAACAGGTCAGTTACCAAGAAAAAATACAGCTCTTGAACTATGGATTGACTGTCTTTGTAGAACTTGTAAATGTTGCACTAGAAATGGGGGGCAAGAGAAAAATATACACAGTCAGGCAAAAAACATCCCATCTTTCCTCAGATGGGCACTTCTGCAGTGTTTTTCTGACTCAATTTTCCAAGCTTGTATTAAACACACTCAGGAGGAAAACTTGAGTGAATGGGGGGCCCTGCTGCTAGCAGTCAGCTTGTAAAATCAAGGCAAGAAGGCCAGCAGTGCCTTCCTTCAGGTGTAGGACATGTGGGCACCTTACTGACTGCTCCTTTTTTCCAATGCAGGAAGGACATTGCCAAGGTGACCATTTACTACAAGCAGCTGAACTACCAGTCTCTGAATGAGTCTCCTTTGCTCTCGGTAAGGTTGCTTTAGATCAGCTCTCGTTAATTACAGAGTGCTGTGTGTGGTCAGAGGGAGGACTGTCCCCCGGTGTGGGCTGGAATTATTCTTCCTTAGGGATTGGCTTCTAAATGCCATAGTTTACACAGACACACACACAATTAATCCCCAGATGACGAACAGCTAACTGACCTGCTGGTAGTATGCAATGATTTTGTGCTTGGTAAACGTAGTCCTTTGATTTGTTCCACAGGATAATCTGCTTCTGTCCAGCATGGGAAGCCAATGGAGTCTATGGTTTGGATCCTCGGTGCTGTCTGTAGTTGAAATGTTAGAGCTGCTCATAGATACGTTGGTGTTGTCTCTCCTTTTCTGCTACCAAAGATTCAGGTCAAAGACACTAAAAGTAGCCAGCACCCCCTCCATCCCTAGTGTGAGCCTGACCCTAGAAAGCTACCGTGTTGTGCAGGAGGCTGGAAAAGGCACTGCTGCTGCCCACGGCCACACTTCAGGAGTGCCTATGGCCACAGCCAACAGCAGTGACCCACATCCTGCCCAGCTCTCCAGCAAGGCAATAGCAGAGCACTGCCCAAATGTGGTGCTGAATGGGTTCAGGTACATGAAGGACAGCTCTCTGGAAGGGGAACTAAATCTCTAAGAACGTGTGTGTGGCACAGAGCCATCAGAAGGGCTGCATCCTGAGCGCAGGCATCACGCAGTGTCCCTCTGTTCCTAATGAACATCCGGGGAGGTGAGCACTGTATGCAGTTCTCCTGACCTCTGAAAAGCCCGTTCACAGCCTTTAACTTTTAAACCCTTGCAAGGAAACCACCCTGTGGTGTCAGACAGGCCCATCTGCATTTCATATATACTTGAGAGAAAAGTCAGCTTACTGTCAATGGGGGGGACATCCAACAGGGGCAAAGCTCCCCATTGTCAGGGATGACAATTTGCCATAAGCTGCTCCGATCACAGCTCTGTCCTTTGCTTACCACTGTTGCATGTAGAGGACCATCATGCACAGAATGCTTCAGCCCCGTATATTTCAAGTGGGACCCGCTGTCTCAGAGGAGAGGAATGGGAGGAAATAGGGCTGATCAATTTTTTTCTGCCACAGAAGAAGCGTCTGAGCTTCTGAGATTAAAACAGCGCTGCGTTTTTAGTGCAGCCCCACTTGTAGAGATGTTTTAATGTTAATATTTGACAGTAACTTATGTGTACATAAAATAACATATTTATTTTTGATGACAGTGTCGGCGCAGGTTTTACTCCGTTACAATTGTTATGACTTTCTGCAGAAGAATTGTGAAGGAAGTGCTGAGCTTTGTTTTCTAGCTTATTTTTGTAATAATAAAACGCTCTGAGCGCAAACCATGGCTGCAAATTGAGTTTGATTTTGTTTTGCTTCCACCCAATATTTGGGTTTATTACCATAGAGTCACTTGGAAGGGAAACAAATGCTTCCTTCTATTTTTGGGGGCTCTGGAAAAGTCGGTTTGGGGATGAGGGAGAACAGGACATGGGGTTGCATTGCCTGAACGTCAACCTTGGAGCAAGAGGGATGTGGCAACAACGCAGGGCAGGGATCTGTCAGCAGAGGTGTGTGCTCGAGCTGTGCACGTGCATCACAGAACAAGCGGTGTTGCAAGGCAGAAAGGAGCTGCACACGGCGTGTGAGTGGGAAGGAAAGGTGATGAGCCACAAGGCCAAGGCTGTGGGGTTCAAGATGGGAGGCAAATCCGCTTCCTATCTGCTTATGCAGCCTTTAATAGAACCAAACAATGGTTCAGAGGTAGCAGAAGCACGAGCAGCAGCCTCCAGCCTGAAGGCAGCTTGGAGCAACCTTCTCGGAGGGCGTGGGCCAGCTGTCAGATTAGCAGCTGCCTCTGTATTACAGAACATTCCCATCGTCTGCTGCAGTTGAGCAACAATCAGCCGTGCAGATTCTTCGTTAGGGTCATACCTTGGTGCTGTGATGTCACCCCTGGGCTACCTGCTCTGTTAGGGCCTGGCTGAAGGCAAAGGGTTCGGCCGCCGCTCTGGGACAAAACCTCCCTCAGTGCAGGAAAGGTTTCAGAATTACGCTGTAATTCCAGAGATAATTAGGCACCCGCATCCCCTCTGTGCTGTACGTTCACTGCTCGGTGTTCCAGGACAACTTCTGCTGCAGACTGAGCTCATTTTCACCTGAAGATGAACCCACGTAGCCACCGGGGAAGAGATAAGGGAAAGATTCCAGGTATTCAGCTGCAGAGGTGCAGCTGCCTCGAGGCTCCCACAGATACCCTGAGCCCTTTACTTGTCCTGGGAAGCAACTGAGAGGGCAGACCCACAGCTGAGAGCTGCACGGCTGTGGGCACACAGCATGAGTGCTTAATGGCACTGTGATATGGGGTGATGGAAGATATGCCTGCAGGATGCTGAGAGTTCCTGTGGAGAACAGGGACTTCTTGTACAGGGCAGCCATCAGCAGAGCTCGTAACAGAGCATGACAGATCTGGGGGCTCTGAAGGGATATGAATTGAGGGGTGATGTGAGCTCGTCACCTCTATCCCAGCCTGGAATCACAATATCGTGAGACAGTGTCACAGAAACCCAACAAAAAGGCACTGTGGGGTCCTGGGAGGCCACAAGGGCACACTGGGAAGCATCTGAGGCATCCTGAAGCACATCGATGAGCCCTGGGAGCCAACTAGGATGCCCTAGAGTACACTGAGTGGACCTTGGGGGCTTTTAGGGATCCCCAGGGCACACTGGGAAGCACTGGGAGGTCACTGGGGTGCCCCAGAGTACAATGTGGGGTCACGGAATGCCTCGAGGCCATTCTGGAAAGCCTCTGGGGCATCTTAGATCACACTGAGGAGCTCAGGGAGTGCCCTAGGGTGCTCCGTGGTACAGCGGGGGCATCCTGGGAGGGCTCGTGGGCACCCTAGGGAGAGCAGACAAGCTCTGAGCGTACGTTGCTGTCCCTAAGACTTCATGGGGAGACTGGGAGGATCACTGAAAGCTTTTACGGCGTCCAAGGGCAACCTGCAGTCTATAGGTCCTTGCGGGCGTGACCTCGGGTGCACCCGCGCCCTCCGCTGCCTCCTGCTGGATGTTTTGCGGTACTACAGGCGCAGCCCCACCGCAGCGTTACGGAGCGCCGTGCCGCAAAGCATGCTGGGAGCTCCTGCGCCGCCGGATTTCCGGGCGGCCATGTTGGGTGTGGCGGTTTGTTAGTTCCGAGTGGCTACGTTGTGCGTGGGGGTCTGTTAGTTCCTGGCGGCCATGTTGGGCGTGGCTACCCCTTACTTCCGGGCGGCCATGCTGGGTGTGGTGTTATCAAGTTGAGTCAGCCATGGTGGTGAATGGAGAGAGAGGTTCAGGTTTTCAGGCTTTTTTTTTAGGGTTTAAAATTCTTAGTCTTTTTTAGGATTTAAGGCTTTGGGCTTTTGACACTGAGGAGCTCTGGGAGCAGAGCGAGGAGCCCTGAGGGCACAGTGGTTTACGTAGCATTTGCTTCACTGCCAACAAATCGAAGCTGTTGGTTGCAGGAAAAGTAAAACAGGTTAAAAGGGGACAGATGGCGTTTCAGATCCAATTAATGCAGGCAACAAGGCAAGAAAACCCAGGAGAACAAATAAAGCCAGAGAAAGAGGAGGGGAGGAGTTCATCTAGGTTTTTATTAACAGTGTTTCAAGAGACAGTAGAAGAGAAAGGAGGAAAAAAAAAGGCAGACACCACAGCAACAGCTTTAAAATGGTACAAAGATAATAACATACAGAATATCTGGTTCCATAGTTACAGTCGGTACAGGCTGTGTAGAGGAAAAGGGGGTGGGGGGGGGAGATTAAAAAACGTGGTCCAAAGTGGTACTGGCAGCAGGCAGGTGAGGGGTTAAGAGGTGATGTGTATTTACAGCAGGTGCCAGCCCTGGAGTGAAGGCTTTGGGCTCAGAAGGAGCTTTGGGCACCAAGAGGCCGGCTGAGCTCACCCACCACCAGGGCTGCCTTCCTCCAGGATGGGGAATCCACACCAACACTCGTGTGCTCCTACCCCACCTCCACCCCTTGCTTGCTCTCCATAACCATTCTGTTTTCCCACTAATGCTGGGTGTACAGCTCCTAAAGGCTGCATCCCAACCCAACTTCCTTCCAAGGCAGAGGAACCCGCAGGCAGACTGCGATATGAATCATAATCCTATGGAAACAGCACTCTATATTTTGGAATCTCAAAACAAAGCGTTCTTACAAACTCCCACTCTCCGTTCTCCTGCTCGGTCCCTCCTTCCCCACCTCTTCTCCACATAACAGCACCAAATGCTCTCACACGCACGCACACAGGCGTTTGTCATCAGCAATCCTATGGTTTAAATATCACATTGAAGCCGTTCATTCTGGTTTGTCTTTGGTTGAAAGCAATAATGCTCGGGCAGTGAGCGGGAGGTGGGACAAAGGCAGCCCAGCAGCTGATACCTGTGTTAGGCCACTGGACAGCCACATATCAGTGCATTACTTTAGGAGGTCCTGTTGTACTTTTGCATAATAACAGCCCCTTTGGGCTATTCTGAGATGTTACTGATCTGTTTTACGCTGATGGCAGTCTCAGCTTGCCAAATCTTTTTTCCCTTTAAGAACATCAGTTCTTCCTGTTCTGTGTTTTGCCTTGAGACTGCTCGAAGGAACTGCATATTGCAGAGACCATGAGATCAAAAACACCTGAGGCAACCCCAGATGACACATGGAGAGGAATCACAAGGGGGATCATTTCAACTTGCCAGCAACTTGAAGTTGTCCCACGTGGAATGGGTGATATGCCAGACCCCTAAAATTTGAACCTAGGCTATGCTTCCAGACACCTGGTTACAGGGTTTGGGTCAACTCAAAAGCTGGTACAGGTATAGAAGTATTCATACAGCTCTCAAAAACACAGGAGATGACAGAATCTGCAGGTTTCAGTCCGTTTGTGTTTGGAGAATGCCTGGCATGTTGCTTTCTAGACAAAGGCAAAGCTTCTCATGTTAAGTGTGGGTGCAAGTCACTGTGATAGAGATACTGAATGCACTCTTCGAGATTAAAGGAAGAACGAGAAGAGTAGTTTTTGGCATTAAATATTTCAAACATGATTGTTGTACAACACAAATATAGCTGTACTTGAATTTAAAGAAAACAAGTGTTCATGTCTAACCTTCCCTTGAGCCTGGTTGGCCATTCATTTTGCTGAAAACAAACTTTTTTTTGTACAACTTTCCCACTCCATGCATCTAGGCACACGCACACACACACACACCCCAATCCAAGAAAGCAAATAAACACAGAAAACATTGAGAAGTGCCTCCTTAACATTATTTTCCTGGAGAACCTTTTTTTGTTTGTTTTAGAAACCGCAGGACGTACTAAAGTGTTTGGTTATATTACAAACTAGAGGCATTTAATGCCTCACGATCTGTATAATGAAAATAGAAGAGAAAAGGGGGGTGGGTGAGAGGGAGAGAAAGGAAAACGGTAGGGAAAAAAGGCAGGATTTGAAAAATATTCCCTAACACTGCTACAAAAAAATCCTGACGTTAAATACAGACAAACTGTATTGAATAAAAATTGCACTAGTCCTCTGGGCACATCAATAATAAATTAAATACTTAACAATTTCACTGATTAAAAAAGACAGCACAAAACCCATAACAAAAGAACATAAAACCCCCCAATACTGTATGTAGGAAAAGTGCACAAAGTCGCTTTATACATTGAATCTAAATAAAGTACCAATACATGTTAAATAAATTGTCTTGCAAGACACTGCTTTTTGCATCAGTATTTACATATGCTTTAACTTTATGTACTTCAGCAGTGAGTCTGAGCTTCATTGGACCTACCTGTACATGATTTTTGTCTTGTTCTTATGAGTCACTAATGCTGACTGTGAAATAAAATGACCCAAAAATGGAAGCCACATCTCCGGTCCTCATCGGCTTACAGAAAGGTCAGTCCTATTTCTAACTTCTCATGAAAAGCTGGAAAACCAATTGGGGTGCTTTTAAGTTGTTGTGCATGTGAAAAACGTTGCTAGATGATAACCGTGCTGAAATTCATTTACAGAGCAGGACCGTGGTGGTGGTGAAACGTGGATTCTGCTTTTACCATCTCTGAAGTACCCTGAAAGATGCCAGCTTTGATGCAGTGTGGTCGTCTTCTTCAAGAAAAGAGCACAACTTGGGGAGACCACATCAGCTCTAACATCTAAACTGATGCAGATCAGCATAAGATAGGATCGAAGAGAATTAATTAGAGGTCTCTCAATTCCTAACCCCAGCAGCAAAGGCAGTTTTTGGCTGCACGCTGGTTCCTGTCCTGCTCTGAGTGTTGAAGTGCTGATAGGGCACAGTCCTGCTGAAGGCTGGCTGCAAAACTCAGCTCACAAGGAGGGTGTCCAACAGGGACCAAATCCAGCAGCAGTGGGCTGAGTACAAAGCACTCAGGACAGGTGGAGCGATGGAAGCGGATGGGGCAAAGCTCATGAATTTTGTTATTTAGGGAAGGAAGAAAGGCCCTGGGGCCAGATTGCCCCTTATCACCGTTCTGCAGCAGGCTCAGTGTGTTCACTAGGACTGTTTCAGGCTCACAACACAGCTGGGGCTGTGGCACTGGGCATCTCCCAGCTCCAAAGGGAACAGGAATGAGAAAGCCCCAAGAGAAAGATGAACTTCAAGCCACAGATTGCACAGACAGAAAACTGTGATCTGTCGGAAGCAGAATGTGGGATAGCACCCTCCTAAGGAAGCAGGGACTCTCCCTTGAACTGAGAAGACAACTTGCCAGAGCCTGAGCTTCTTGATTTTTCTACCTTCAGACAAATGGGTGGAGTTGAGGTGCAGCTGGCTCAGTCTCTGAGGGCACTATCTCAAGTGAAGAGCTGAGTTGTTCTCCTGAGGACAGACCAATGTCCTTAGAAATAAACCTGGAAAGACTGAACCCACCAAGGGCTGCAGCAAGACAGCAACCAGTTTGCAAAGAAAGGAAAGAAGTCAAAAGGTATCGGATGAAAAACAGTGTGATTGTGTATCACTGCGGATGTAATGCAGGAGGATGGGGAACTCTGCCTGGTATTTTGCGTTCCTCATGAGATCCTGATCCCCTCAAGATCCCAAAATTATCTGTAAGGCACTATGGCCCAACACCTAGCAGCCTAGGTGCCCAGGCAGGCTAAATATCAACTGTGGGTTGCCACCCACGAGTCCTGAAACACACTGATGTCCACAGCAGTTTGAGGGCATGCTGAAGTGGCTCTTACAGGAGCACATCTCAGCCTGGCATCCAAATTCCCAGCCAGAGGACAATCTATTAGTGGTACACGTGTTCTGTACGTCCACTTGAGACAGCACCTCTGCACAGCTAATGCAGAATGATCCCCAGAACACGGACCATTAGCGACATTAGCAACAAAGTGCTCTGAGTCAATACACATTCCCATTCCAGCAAAGAATAACACCAGAAAGGAAAGAAACCAAAAGAAGATCGTGCTGACCACTGGATCTGGGAAACTCAGAAGTCCCTGGGCCAGCTGCTGAGATGCCCTACTCACATGCTTCAGCACGCGGGGTGAGCACAGAGGGATATACATGCAGGTAGAAGTCTCCTTCACAGAGATACAAAGTCAGAAATCCGGTGACTAGGAAACAAACCAAACCAAATGGCATCGTGCAGACAGCCGTTTTGGCACTGGGAGTTGGACTTGGCTTTTCTTCCCTGACACAAAAGCCCATCGCCAGCGACAAGCTTCTCCCAGCCTCAAAAGATTAGCATCGCTGCTTCCGTCCCACTGTTCAGACTGCATCTTGGTCCAGGAAGCAGGTGAGCTATGGCTTTGACCAGCTAACCACCAAGGCCAATAAAAGGGGAGCGTGGCTAGTAATAGTCCTGAGAGCAAGTAAGGTGGGCAGCCATCGCTCTCAATTCTACCCCTTCTCTTTTGCCTTCTGGAGCGAAGCATCTACCCCAAGAGACACCATGTTCCCAACTCAGAGGTCACCATCTGAGTATTCTAAACTGGTCCCAGCAGCTCGCAGATGCTGCAGACTCCCAGGAGAAAGCAGGCTGCTGGGCACACTGCCAGGAGGAGGGCTCCCCATCAGAATCCCTGCCAAATCAATTGTTCAGACAAGAATTCAGTGCACGGTGACTACACTGAAGGAGAGACACGACAGGTTCGTCTGACCGTATTGTTGGTGGGCTTCTCCTGGTGATAGAGGGTTTCCTTTTCTTCTTTCCTTTTTTGTTTTTTGTTTTTGTTTTGTGGTTTTGTTTGTTTATTTAATGCTAAACTCATCTCCCATACTTTTCACACACTCAAATCCACACGTCATGGTCTGTGGTTATGCCCCAAGAGTCTCCTACGCAAAATCAACCATCCAGTAGTCAAGTATGAGAACTTCACACTAAGAGGAAAGACCCCATTCCTTCCTGCGTGCATTTCAACCCATATGCTCAGGCATCAAAAACAGACCAATCTGCTAGAAACACCAATATACCAAGGATGGGGCTCTTGGGGCTTCCAAAAATCCAGCCCCACTTCAAGACAGCAAAAGGGGAGGTGGGGAAGTTGTCACTAACACTCATCTATATTAAGGCTGATGAACTCCTGTATACACTTCTTGTACTGGAGCTCAGTGGGGCTGTTGCTGGGATATTGACCTGGCTGTCCAAAGGGGCCCTCTGCTTCTCGCATTTCCTCATTCATTCGAGCCAGACGCAGCCTAGAGTGAAACAGAGAAAGCAAAGGGAGAAATGTTTAGTTATCTACAAGCAGCATTTCCATCTACAGGGAAGTTCCAGGCTGCACTTACAAGGTAACAATGTCTGCGTTGGCTGCCTGGACTGCAATACTGAGCGGGTCCTGCCCGTCACTGTCTACTGCATGCTGGTTTGCCCCTCGCTTGAGGAACAAGCAGACCTGGCTGCATGAGAGAAAGGAAAGACCATCAACAGAAATCCCACCTTCACAGGGCAGATTCCCTTCTTAACCACTGTTTGGGATGAAAATCCCAAAGCCCAGCTCTTTTGCCCACTCCAGGGTGATGGAGCAGATCAGAGCAGCGTGCAGAGGACTCACCCAGTATGTCCCATATATGTGGCATGATGCAAGGGAGCCCGGCCTCTGCTATCTTTTTGGTTAACGTCTGCCCCATTCTGCAGCAGGAATTCACAGGCTATCAAGGAGCCCTGGCAAGGTAAAGGGGAATTTCTCAATAAATTCTGCCAGCAGTACTGAGAGGATGCACAAGCATACACCACACTGTATGTTGTCAGCGACCTCCAAACTGAAGCCAAGACCTCACATTCCCAACCACAGCCTCCCAACCATGAGCACAACATACCCCCATCACAGCTTGAACCAGAGGAGTTTTGTTTTCATCTTCATCATTCACCCAGTTGACCTCAGCACCATGTGCCAGGGCTTCTGCCATGAGCGGCAGGTTTCGGGCCTGTGCTGCCTTGTAGATCAATAAGCCAGGATGCAGCTCCCTCAGGTCCTCCAGATCTGATGCCTCCTGTTCAATCTCTGCTTCTCCACTTGACTCCTCTGACACCTCACACTCTGAGGGGCAGGAAAGAGATGGAGAGACGTGACCCAAAAGCTTGGAGTTTCCAATTTGCTATGTTCTCTGTAGGTCTTAGCACCAAATAATCACAACCATCCCACATTCCTAGCTGCCCCCTACCCTACTTCCATCACCAGCCTGTTTGTGACACCCACCTTCCTCTGTCACGCTGTCCACCACAGAGCCAAACACCAGGATATCAGTGCTGCCATCTGTGCTTCCTCCAAGTCCGCTGTCACTGCTCAGACCTGCAGGGCCAACAGAAGAAAAACCAAGGCCATTTTAATACCTGGGCATTCCAGTACCAGTCAAAGCTGAGACCACAAGGGAAAAAGGCTGCGCAGAGCATCACAAACACATTGCACCAGGTACTGCTGGCAAGGGAGAGGGAGACTGCTACCCCATTTAGCCCCACTCAGTAAAACTGCCCAAGGAAAAACTGCAAAGCCTTATGGTGTCCATGTCCCCACGTTGCCGTTCATGCAGGGATGCTCCAACATTGCCATGGCACTCTGGACTGCTGAGGACAGCACTTGCTGCAATCCATGAGGGACGCTGTGACGTAGACTGGAGCAGAGCAGCAGCAGAGACAACATTGCAGCAGGTTACACAGTGTCATAAGTAAATAAAGACACCCCTTTGCTTTCGCTGTTTATAATATCAGTTTCACTCTGTGCTTTCTCCAGAGCTTTTCAGTTGTTACTCAGGCATTTGCCAATTCGTTGCTCTTGATTACTGACCATGACTGAGCCAAATAATGCCAGTAGAGTGCATCTCAAACCAGTCTCTTAAGGCATTGACCATCAGCTCTTTCACCCTTCTGTCTCCTCATGGAGCTCCATGCCTTCCCTGCTTGACTGGTAAAAGCTATAAGGCAGCTGATTACACACAATAAGTGGTGTCACAAAGAGAAGCAGCAGCTTGTCCAACGACATGCAGTGTGTCAGTGGATGAGCAACTTTGTACCTTCTTGAACTCAGATTCAAAAGCAGTCAAGAGGATGAATGAAGGGAATGAAGAATCAATGCAAGAATTGCCTCTGCAGAACAGGGATGGGGCATAATCTTTCCCTTGTTCCTTAGAAATGCTGGCTGGGTTCTGTGTCCTGCTGCATTTAGCTTGCCAGTGACTGTCAGGGTTCAGGGCATCTATCTTTTATTCATCCCAGAACTCAAGATGTTAAGTGCCCAGGATTTACATTTACCTACGCTCAAATCACTGTGATTAGAAAGAAAAATAAGCCAAGCAAAATGTTTCAAAAACACGAGTTGAGCAGTCATGGCAAAGAGTAAGAAGCCTGCAAGAACTGAGGTAAGAGCCTTGAAAACGAAAGCAGAACAACAAACCTCAACCTCAGGGCTGCCCAGAGAAACCTTCAAAGCAGCTACATCTAAGGTACTAAATCAAGAAGAGCATCTAAATAAATGCTCCTGAAATTACAGCTCACAAGTAATAACTTCCCCAGCCAAGGCAGATAACAAAGATAGCAGAGAAGCTAACAGACCTACATGCAGACTTTCCTCTGTAGTTGCTCTGTGCTGTTGCACTTGTGCCATACTGACCACCACCACTGCTGAGCTTCATTCAGTGCTCCATAGGAGCTAAAGATTAGGACAGTGATGTCCACTAACTGATCCAGAAGAGAATTACATCAGCTGTGAGGACACTGGACAAAGGTCAGTGGGTTGCTTTTCTCTGGCAGTGATATCACCTATGGAAGATATAGACTCACACCAATTTCTGTGGTGCTTGCAGTCTTGAATCTGGCATCCAGATCCACAAAAGAATCTGAACTGAGCACTCTAGACCCTTCTCAATTTCAGCAATTGGGAAAGCAAGTCTCTGAAAGCCATCACACAGCATCTCACTCTGAAGCTAGGCACTCCAACAGCTGTCTGCCAGCGCAGCCAGGACCAAGACACGTCCCAGTGATGCTCAGCCTGATTGGCATCATTCAGAAGAAAGCTGGCTCAAATGTAGTAAAGCCTATGACACCCAGAGCACGAATGGGCTCCAGCTGTTTGGCTGCAAGAAAACACATAACTGCCTCTGATGCTTGCTTTGGAACAGGTAAAATTTGGGTGTCTCTTTTGCTGCTAGCTGCCAGAGCGTCACCTTACCTCCGTCCAGGAGGAACGGCATACCGCTCCCACCGGGACCAATGCCACTGCCACTCCATGGGCCACCTGCTAGCGGATGCTGCATAGAGATGTGGCTGGCACCTAGAGGAAGGTGGATGGAATATGAGGGGAGTTTGTCACAAACACAAAAAGAAAAATTGTCCGCAGTAAGACTTGCTTTAAAAAAAAAATATATCAAAAAACACACCACAGGGGAAAAAAAAAAAATTAAAAACCAAAACTAAAACTAGAAAAAAAGTTGATGGAATGCATAGTCTGGAAGGCAAAATATGGGGAAAAAAAAATCCCATCTACCAGAATGCAAACACCAGGGACTGATTGGATGGGATGTTAAAATTCTAAGTGCAATAAAAAGAGCGATGGGTTGGAGTTGTTAGAAGTAATTCCCCATCACTCTTCTCATATATTTACCCAGCATGTTTGTGATTTGGCCAGCAGAATGCCTCTCCAGTGAGGCCAATACCTTGCCTTAAGTCTGGTGCAATGCACATGCCTTAGAAGAGTTGAAAGGTAAAGCGTGCCAGAAGCAGGGATACCTTCTTTCTTTCTTTGTACTTACTGCGTGGGCCAGAGCCTGCACCAGTGTCAAAGTAGGAGAAGAGAGAGTCCAGTTCATCAGGACAAAAGAGGGAATCTCGACGGAACTTCCTCTCCAGCGTGGCTGCTGTTTGAGAGAGATTTGGAAACGAACAGTTAATAACACACAGATGAATAACGCAGCCATAATTAAACACGCTGAGCTTTGTGCATCTCATGTGTTTGGTGCCATCACTATACCCACATACACCATCAAAACACAAGGAGAAGACCACAGCTGTTGGTTTAACGCTGCAGAGCAAGTCGTTCCAAAGCACTGAGAGCAGCCAGAGCCCTTCTCAAAGGAGGGAGGTTCCCACCTGATGACAGCATGGCTGGTGATGCGTTGCCCGCTTCGTGGCGGTACTTCCTCCGAGCTGTGGGTGCTTTTGTGGTGCTGTTGTTCCTCTGGCATTTCTTCACACACCAACGTCGAGGTTTCCGCTCGTTCTCTGCCAGAGCCTCTCCACTTGCTAGCTTCTTCAGGAATTTCTTCTCCACGTATTTCACCTTGATCCAAGCTTCCTTGTCCTGCCTAGGAAAAGAACAGCATAAAACTCCGCACAGGGTCACAGCACTCACCTACAGCAAACAGCTACAAGTAGATGAGGCTGCTCTGGCTCAGCTCCTCAATCCTGCTTTGAACCCTAAAAACCACTGAGGCCTGGATGAAAAAGGCAGAGTTGCTCAAACCTAAAAACATTTCAAAGCAAAACTGAGGAGTGCTGAGAGTGGAAAGGGATGAGCCAGGCCACGCCACGTGCTTCAGTGAGAGTTTGGGCCCTCACCAAATGCCAGCCCTACTATCTGGCTTTCCAGATTGCTTAGGGTAGAGCTGAAGGTCGGTGGGGATGTATAACTTTCCCCAGAGCTGGTAGGAGCAGTACATGCACTCAAACTCACCTGGAGCTCCCTGCTGTTGGTTTCTTAAGTCCCAGTTCTTCACATTGTGCCTCATAGATCTGATTCATGGTGCTGTTTCCCAGCTCGCACATCAGCTGCAATACAACCAGGAGAGAATGAAGTACTCAGGTGAGGAGTTACTCCTGCTACCAGGCACGACTGCCCTCCCTGCCCAGCATTTTCCAGGTTTTGGTGTTAAAAGCCAACACTCACTTTCAGTAACTCTGGCTCCCAGGAGTCCAGTGTGAGAGATCGGACTTTGGAGCAGTGGACACCCAGACTCCTTCAAAAGGAAGAAAACTGAAATGGTTACAACGCCTCAAAAGCAGAAATGATTGTAGAAGCTATTGTAGAAATGCCTAAGTTGATATAAATCAATCCTGTTACATTATTCACATTAAAAGCTGCTCTTCTGTACTTTTTATCTTTGAATCCTTCCATTCTACTTTCCTTGTCTTTACATCCCTAGTAAGAAGGGTTTCCCTACTTGAGCTGAACATCACCAGTGTTTGATTGCTCGTTAGTGTGTGCTGTTAATTGGTGATGCAGTTCAGTTTGCTGGCAGAGGCAATGCTCAGAGGTGCAGTTATATATGGGTGGAACATGGATAAAGCAAGTCTGTAAAATACTCTGTTAACAACAAGTGCTAAATAACATCACTGCAGTTGAAATATTACTATTCAGGCTGTTTCCTGATGTCCTTTGTTCTGGATTACTCTGCAACTACTGCAGCCATGAGGAAACCAGCACTGCATACACATAGATGTTCCCACATAGATGCTGCAGCAAGCAGCTACTTTTGAATCTATACAGACATTATACACTGTACACTTGCAACTCCATCTCTACCTTTTTCTAGGAGCTTGCAATCTAAGCATCTTGCTGGCAACACACTTAGAATACCTGTGGATACCAGAGCACTCAATGCATAGCAGAATGCCCAGGTTGATGCTGGCCCACCGGGGATCTGGCTGACCACAGTCACAGCACTGGTCGTTCCCAGGGATGCTCTGCACTCTTTGCAAGATGGTCTCCCCTTTCACATTGCGGTCCCGTGAGTCGGTAGCAGAATCAATGCTGCTGGTTGATGGGGAAGCAGTTCGGTCCAGTCTCTGCAGGGAACAAAAAGGGATTTAGGATCTGCAAAGCACTGTGGAAGGAGGACCCACATCGGATCTTTGCATTGCAGAGGCACTCACAGGAAGCAATACCTGAAGAGGAATGAGCTACTGCTAGTCCAGGAAGGCAAAGGGTAAAGTCTCATTACTTTCTGTTACTGCCACAGGACTGTGCTTCACCCCTCCCAGCTCTGGGAGTGCAGCAGCAGGCACACCTTTCCCTTGCATGCAGTTCGTTATCACCGTTGCCTTTGAGTTAGCAAAGCCACCAGTAGAAGAGGTATTTCCAAATGGTTTACCCAGCCACACCAAACATGTCACAGCTCAGAAGCCCACTGCCAGGGCTCTGAGACCCCACTAGGGATCTTCGTTTCACCCTCACTCACTTCAATATAGTAGCTGTCAGGACTCTCCCGGTACGCAGAAGCGATGCTGGCTTGAACAGCCTGAATCCAGGCCTGACGCAGCTTCTCTGAGTCAGCCTGCAGCATGCAGCTCCTGGGAGGGAAAGCAGAGAGTTGGAAAGAATAAAAGGAGAGGATGCAAGTGAAAACTGTCCCACTTTGTCCTCACGTAGCCTTTTCAGTGGAGGTGGCACCTTGATTTGACAGGCATGGGACAGAAATGAATCCAGTTATTTTGGATAGACGACTGCTGCCAGTTTCACAGTCTGTATATATATTAGGTTTGCACAGCCTGGATATCAGCTTATGCTGATATCTGATGAACTTCATGGAGACTCTGAAACACAGGCAGAGCTATCTGCCAGTCATCACTGAACAGATCAGGGCAGCATCCGCTCAAATCAAATTTGTAGCACTTCTATGTACAGCCCACCAACCATCAGGATGACACAGGAAAGCCTCCAAACTTACTTGGTAGGTGAGACGACCTCAAAGCAGAACCTCCTCTCTATGTCTTCACATGGCTTGACAGTACAGAGCCGCAGGTCTTCCACCACCACCGTGAGGACATCCTGAAAGAGTGAGAACAGGTGGCTCTGTCAGCTCTCTGAATCTATCATAATCAGCTTCTCAGAAACCTCCTCCCCAAACTCTGCTGGTTACCACATGCTAGGTCAAAAAAAAAAGAGCCAGCCCATCACAGGATAACCCTAGAGCAATAGGAGGGGGCTGTATAGGACCTAACAGTGGGACAACAAACACGTGATGTGGACAGCTTACTGGGGACATCCTCTGTTGAATCTGAGTATTTAGATCCCCACAAACACCATTTGCTGCTGCTTAGTTCTCAGCACCACCTAACTCTGGAGCACAACAGTGCCCACAACTTGTGACCCTTCTCGTCACGGTGCAGAAATCGCCAGCAAAACAGGACATCAGACAAGTTGGCCAATCTGCCCAGTGTCACCTGGGGAAGCCTCACCTTTAGTTTTTTCTGGTACACCAGCTGGCTGTTCTGTATGGAGAACCACCTCCTGGGGGAAGACAGACAGACAGAGGTCAGAACAAGTGAACAGCAGACCTCAAGCTGAAAACAACTGTCAGACTCACGCTTCTCTAATGCCCTCAGTCAGAGGATAACCAAAGGATTTACAGCCTTAGGAAATGACTGTTGGCATTGAGATACTGTGAAAGCAACTGTCCGAGATACATTGATATACATGAAGGATGAAGGAAGGGAAGAAATGAGTTGGGCAGTTCATATTGCTACCTAGGATTTCTGGAGCAGAAGTTTGTGTGCACACTGGCTTCTGCTTCTACTATGCAGGTAGAAGTCAGTGGGACACACTGCACTGGTTAGAGCTGGATGGACCTACACAGTAGGTTACCTGGTGTTTACTGGGAAGGTTGGATTGCTTGCACATACCACAGGCAGCATGCCTCCTGCCTCTCCAAGCTGTCATAGGGAAAGCCAGAAATTCTTTGATATAATGAAGAAACTTCCAAGTGGCAAAAAGAAAAAAAAAAACAAACATATATTGGAAAACCCTGCTAACTGGCAGTGCTACAACCAGCGTTGGAAAAAAAATAATACAGACAGGTTGCACACATTGTTGTTTATACAGAACAAGCTACCTACCAGGCTGAGCTCTCAGTAGCCACTACAACCAACAGGATGCCAAACAGAAAGCCAAAGCTCCTGTTTGCTGTGGCTAGAGGAAGGACATGTGCGTGGGAAGGGAATCTGCCTTCTTAAGGGACCACCAGCTGCCAGCTTCCCATTAAGATGCAAGCGACAGAAGGTCCAAATGATGCTGATATTAGAGGTAATTCCCTGGTGTCTTAATCTGCAGTGCTAAATCCAGCCCTCCCAAGTCGCTTCCTCAGTCCAAGATACAGCCTAAGATTTAGCAGCCTGATCATCTTTCTGGAAGAAAGCACTGAAATATCCGAGCATAAATAGTCAGAGGCTTGCAGCAGGCTGGCATTTGAGCATGTATCACACTTGTTTTGCAAAGGAACTGGGTTCCCTGGGAAAATGAGATGAGACAGGGTTCTCTTTCCTTCGTCACTGCTGAAAGATTAAAGAGCGAGATAAAAGACATCAGTAATAAAGGATCTGACATGTCTGTGAAGAAATGGAAAGCGCAGGTAACTGGAGGCCATCCCACCTACGTGGGAACCCCTTTTGCTGAGCTCATCCGGTTCTGCATTTCTGAGCTGCTGTGACAGCCACAGTCTGTGCTCAATGAGCTTTGCTGCTGTCAGGTTTCTCTCTCTCAGGTTCTGGTTTCCACTCCTGCTCCTTGCAGCTGCCTTCTCTGCCTGCTCTGCCACCCCAAGGAACCCATTGCTGCCTGGTGTTGGCTCCCAGCCTGAACCAAACAGGGGATTTTGCTGCTTCCACTGCCTGACCCCCACTCACGAGGGGGAGGCACCACCAGTGAGTGGCAGGGTGACAGTATGAGGGTGATGAGTAGGTAGGTGACAGGAGCTGGGAGCTGCTGAAATGCCAGCAGATATGGCTGAGAGTGGGTGGGACTGAAGAGAGTGAGATGACTGCAGGGAAGATACAAAGCGTGTGACTGGGATGCAGGAGGACATGGGGGAGGTGGGACAGCTGGGATTTGGGGGATTGGGAAAAATTAGAGCCTTTGACATAAGCTTTACTTCAGACATCAGGACAGATCAGAAGGTCTCAGAGGTTTGTGTTCCCTCCAAGATAAGTGCCCTACAGAGTGCCCCTTACATTCTCAAGGTACAGGTCTCAGCACAAACCTGCCGCTCTTGGGCATGACCTTCTCCTCTGCACAGACATGTGGTGTGCAGAGAAAGCATGCATGTCTAGGGACAGAAGCCATGCTTATGAAACACCGAGCAGGAACTCCTAAAAGGCTGATAAGATTGCAGCTACAATACATTCCAGGTGAATTTCCACTGAAATCAAACAACTGATGCATTGGGTCGTATTGCTGCTGTAGTTTCTGGTTCCTTCAATTGCAAACTTAGTGCTTAAATGTCAGAGGATGAGACAACCTGAGGGGTAAAAATGTTCTGAAAACATTCCAATCGAATTTAGCAGCACTAGAGCAAGCTTCAGGAAGGACTCACTGACCCAACCAATTCCAAGATCTAGTAATTTCAGATCTCCTCTCCATGCAAACACAGGCAATTTCTGTGCATCCCATAGACCGTTCACTGAACCACTTAGTGTTTATTTATTCCGAAGTCTAATGACAGCATATTTCAACCCTGCTGTGGCATATAGAGTGTATCCCATAGCCAAGTGCAGAATCTGATAACATTACATCATTTCCCTGTTAAGTGACAGGAGGAAACGTGGGTCAAAAAAGCATTGATCTCTTGCATTAGAAACTAATTGCAAGGGTTTGAATGCTCCTGCACAACCATCTATGAAACCCATTAACAATCTCAAGGGAAGCTAAACACACAAATATCAAGCAAGGCTAGAACATGAAACCTCTGCTTCCACTTTCCCAAGGTCTCTGGCAGCTCCCGACTGGTGCAGGCGCCATATGAGACCAGCATTCCTGGTGATCTATCAGCTGAAATATTTATAAGCAATTAAGAGCAGAGGCAGTGCACAGACAGCCACCTCTCCCAGCAGTAGAGCTGATACTTCCACTCCTGCCTATTCCCCCTCCCACAACAGACACAGGTTAAATACTTGTGGCTCTTTAAAAGCAAGCACGTCTTGCTGCGTTACCTATTTCTCTTAATTGCTATTAATTTACAACTTTCCTATATGGCATTAGCTGTGTTCGGAGACTTGGCCCAGATATCAAATGAAATATGAGGTATTACTCACCGATTCCATGTTTTGAAAGCATTGCTGGCTCTCTTGAAGAGGTAGCCTTCCATCACCACTCCATTTGGGGCATCGACATTAAACTCCACCTTTGAGTCATCATAGGAGAAGTCCTGCATATGGAAAGAGGCTGAGACTCTAACACGGCTGCATTCCCCAGATGGAGATGAGCCTATTAAAAGCATAAAGAGGAAGAAAGCACCTATGCCAAGATTGTGAGGTTCAGGCAGAGCTCTCTCTCACAGCGCACTCCTTTGCTGTAGTGGGCTGCAGCCATGAATAGCAGCCAGGAACAATCCTCATTGCAGCAAGCTTATCCATCCCTATTGGTGGAGAATGTGCTATATATGCTGCGTTTCCCACTCTGGTAGCTGATAAGGAGAAAGGTAGGTAGCTCATTATTATGAGATTCAAAGTTGCCAATATCTGGGGCAGCCTGCAGTGTGAAGCATAGGGATGGAGGTGCTTTTCATTGGCCACACATGGCAACAGTGCTGACTCTCCTGCAAAGGGCCAGGAACAAGAGCAAAGCCCATCTATGCACAAGGAAAACAGGCACGAAGCTTTCCAGAGGGAAAGCAAGACTTATCAATTCCATTTTCATTACCTATCATCATCTGCCATCTCCAATTTGCACTCACATGATTCTCTATGCTATGCTACCCATCAGAGCTAATTTGTCAGGTTTGGCACTGATTCACCAGATAGATCTCATGGATTCTGACAGCTGCTGAGCAAGACACAGAGCAGAGAGAACAGCAGCTGCTCCTGCAGAAGATGGGATTCTTCTCCCTGGGCTATATCTGCCTCCTTCTCCAGAGAATCTAGGTCAGGAAACCTAAACAACATCCCCCCACCTGAGGGAAACTGAGGCACATCTCTCCTATGTGCACTCCACTCACACCTCCCTCTTGAGAGCAGATATTTTTCCCTGCACACCCTGGTTCAAAGACCCAGCAGCACAGTAAAAAGCAGCCCCATTAACTTCAGTGCCTTTCCCAGCTCAGCACACGAAGACCCTCGCGATGCTGCGTTGCCAGGCAACGTGCACTTCACTCTCATTAAGATGAGTTATTTTCATGTTCAGAGATGCCAGCTTGCCTGGGAGGTGTCACAATCAGAAAGAATACTGATACAGAAGGAGGAGATATAATGGGACAGGACTGAGTCATCCCTTGGAAAAACAGCATGATGCCCAATTATGCACTAGAAACTCTGCTGTAAGGCACACAATTAAACGAGGTCTGCTCAGCCCCAAATTTTCTTGCCATAAGAGGGTAAATCCCATGGGGGGGGGGGGGTCTCTTCTGCAGATGTCTTTTGTGTACATATTGCAAACAAAGGCTAGAGGAAATTTTCCTCTATATATCATAGAATGGCCTGGGCTGAAAAGGACCACAATGTTCATCCAGTTCCAACCCCCTGCTATGTGCAGGGTCACCAACAGCAGACCAGGCTGCCCAGAGCCACATCCAGCCTGGCCTTGAATGTCTCCAGGGATGGGGCATCCACAACCTCTAACTTGTAACCATTGAATGTGTGATTTTTGTAGAGCTGCTCCCAACGTGATGAGAATCTGCTCTATTCTATAAACCATGCAGATATCCAAAAAATCTGTTGAGAAGCACACAGTATAATGTAAAACCCTTCCAAGGGCACCTTAGAAATGACACTTTGTGGATTGGGTACAAAATAGAGGGGAGGATCTGAATTTAATCATGTGATTTCAATTGTCCTCATCTAATCACAGGGTAGGAGGGTAAGGAGGATGTACTGCTGATGAGAGCAGGAGGAACAGATGGGCCACGTGCGTCAGAGTAAATCCACTGGAAGTCAGGGGAGTGAAGCCAGGTGTGCCTTTAACTTATATTTCTGCCTGTGTAATTCCAGAGCAAAGCCACTATTGTCAACAGAGCTACTGGAGGACAGGATATGCCCAGCAGATCCTAAGCTGGATTTGTAAAGCAGGCTGAAACCAGGAGAGAGCTGAGGGTAAGGAGCAATCAGCTTCTTATCCTAGGCACCTTCCAGTCTGATCCTCAGGGGCAGCTTGCTCCATTCCATCACACCCTGCTGGGAAATGCATCAGATCATTGCTATAACACCACACTGAAGGACAGCCCAAATGCAGAAGGGAGGGGAAAAAAAATAATCCAGAGTTTATCCCCTGATTGATGTCATTTCTCTTTTTCGAAGGCTGAAAAGAAAAAGTATAGAAACGGCTCATGGAGCCAAAAGGTAAAATCATGGCTGGACTCAGGATGCTTTCAGGTATCCACCATTCAGACAGCTCTACTATAATTGTCAGAGTTCCATCCAGCACATCAGAATGAGCTTCAACTATGGGCTCCAATGACACATTCCTATGCAGAAGCTCATACAGAGAACTTTCTTACCCACAGCTATTGAAAAGAGGAGTTACCAGAATATCTATTGATCCCTCACATGCACACATTTGGATTCCAGCTGGAAGCCAGCTTAGAAAGCTAAGATCATCCTCCCAGTGGTGTTGAAACAGCATGGTGGTGTGGCCATAGCTGAACGCAGACAGATGTGACAATGAATCCCCTTAACAGAGGGAGAGCTGCCATTAAACGGCCCAAAGTCTGCTCTATTCATTGGCACAAAAAGATTTTAATCCTGTTAGCTCTGGGAAATAAGGCAGAGTCCTGGCTCAGCTGATGCCAAGCACATCAGAAAGTCTGTTAGCCCTTCTTGCAAGGCACAAGCACAGCAGAGGCTGCCTGGCTGCAGGTGGAACGAAGGAATAGGAACTTTTCCCCATTACACAACAACTAAAGTAGCTTGCTTTCACTTTAAAAGGCCAGACAAAGCAGAGTAAGAGCACACAGATATGCTTTCTCTTGGGCCCTCTTTCCCATTTCCTGCTATGACTTTAATGCACGATTGTCAGACAGCTTTTTCTCTATTTCTTCCCACCATTGCTACGTATTGCTCTGTCTGCTCTGAATGACTTGGGACTGATTTATTAAGTCTGCATTGAGGACCTCATTGTCTCTGCAACACGAAAAAATAAACGCACAGTACAGAAAAGCCTTCCTAGGATTGAGATCTGAATGGCTTCAGCTGCAACTGCAATGCAATCGCAATTACAGACAGCAGGGACACATTGGATCACACGTTGGCAAAAGCAACCCATTGTCTTTCAAAATAAGAAGCCAGGTCTCTGCCATCATCTGCTTCCCTTTCTTTCAGCCACTTTCAATGAATCACACCGGGTCCAGCATCCCCTCAGACCTGAGCTTACAAACAAGGCTGTTTGGGAACTGATTTGTTAGAAGCGATGCCACGCTGGTTTCCATGGGAGCACACTGAGTGCTGCTGAAACAGCAATGAAATAAATCCCAAGAGACACATCCAGAGGGATGTGGAAAAGGACACGACTGGGGACACTCAAACCAGGAAACGGAAAGCAAAAAACCCAACACATGCAAGCACAAGAAGACCAGGGAAAGAAAATAACGCATGGCTGCCTCTCAGCCCTTTCCACTACCAACTCCCCCATCCATAGGGGGGGATGCATAGGGATGCTGGTGCTGCAGACCCAGCCAAGCTCTTCCACTTTCTCCCATGAGACCAGCATTTCATGCATAGGAAATGGCTGGAATTCAATACACCTCCAGCATCACAGATTTAAGGTGAAGAGTGAAGATGTCCCCCACCTGCCTGGATGCTTTTGGCAGGGGAGTGTTTTCTAAGTAAGCAGCCCTGCCTATGTGCTGCTCCCTGAAATAGGAAGGTCTCATTTCTGCCCATCTGGTGGTATCTTATATGGTACCAATTGAAATAAAATTACAGCACGTGACAAGTGCTTTCCTTCATAGAAAATAAAGGCTTTATCCAAAATGCCCTTTTTTTTTTTGCTAAGAAAGAATGCTCACTATTTAACAATTCCATTACGTACATCCAGGCACAGAATTTCTCCTGAGCTAAATGAGAAGCTGTGTGACTGCTCAGCTCTGATTCCAAGGATAGCAGAATTGAGAGGAATATTCACAGCCCCTAAGGATGCACACACCCCCTTCTACACAAAACTGGTGCATGCACATTCTGTTCTCTTCTGGTGCCCAAATAGATTTCAAGCCTTTCTCTAACTGGCTATTTTTACCTTGTATATATACTGTGTACGACCCAAGGCATCCTCCAAAGCAGATGGAATTTGAAGGAGACCTCCCCCATGTATATCCCCATTCTGCACAGTTTTCACTCATTACAGCCAAACCCCATCTACAGTCCTTTTGTTTCTTGAATTTCCTAATACCAAACAACCTCCCCCTGCTCTGCAGCTTGCCAGCAAATGATGCTTAGATATCTGTACCCTGCCCTAACCTTTTCCATCCCACAGACAGAGCCAAGCCTATTTGCTCTCCTGCAGTAATAAAGCTATACTTGCACCTGGGTCGTATCACACAGCCCTACAGCAACACTCCTTGCACCCCCCCGAGGGCAAAGTGCCCCCTGAACTTTCTCCCCAAGTTAAACCAACGCTGCAGGAATCTCCTTACCAGGAGGTATTCAAGCCTGCTGAAAATCTTCATGATGCCAGCTGGAAGGGAGGCTCTGCAGGGAGCAGCTGCGTCCTCTCTCCGTTCGCTCTCTTAGAGCAGCATCTCTGCTAAGCACCGTGGGCTGGCAGGAAAGGAGGGATTTCTTTTTCAGCCCCTTCTCCTTTACCCCTCCTACTCCTTTTTGGGAAGCAGCAAGCTCTGCCGTTGGCTCCCGTCAAAGCAAGGGGCACCAGGAGAAGGAAGTCTGCTGGCCTCTGGGGACCACCTGCCTGCCCCCTCCCCATGCCTCCCATTCACAGTCAATCAGCTTAGAGCAAGGGCTAATTACCATACAGCTGTCAGGGAGGCACAGAAGGGAACGGGAGAAGCCAAGCAGCACAGAGCAAGGTTGACAGAAAGATGCTCACCGAATGTCCCCTGACCTTAACAGCCTCATCTGCTCTCAGCAGGGTCTGCTTCCCCCAGCCCCAGGAGCAGGGCCACCCTACGGCCAGCAATCCCACCCCTGTTCCCACTGTAGCCACAGAAATCCGGGTGGTGAAGCACCATATGGCCCCTGGTTTGTTATCTACCAGCTGGGCTAAATGAGGCAGAGAGCTCTGCTTTGGCACTCCTTCCCTTCCCAGGCAAACCAGTAACAGAAGTACAATTGCTTCCTCCTTTTTTCTGAACTAGGGAATTGGCACAAGCCTCCAAAGGAGCTTCTGTGCAGTATCATATTCTTCTACTTCCACAGACTGGCCTGCCAGTTTTGCTTAAGTGTTATAATTCCACCCCATTTCCCATTGGAAGAGTTTCCTCAACTTCTGTTCCAGCTGTGAGTCCTAAATTTTCCTCCTTATGTGGTCCTGCACAAGCCCATGTGCTTTTGTGCATCCATTTGAAACAAGTGAGCCTGTGAGCAAATTCATTCCGTGTGGTTTCAGAGTGTTTTTCTTTCAACACTTAAGAGATAGGAGAAGCAACAAGATTCTCTCCCCAGCTTTTGCACAAATTTCTCTTTTAAGGCAATCCTTCCACTCCTGCATCCCAAGCACACTCAAGAAGCATCCCCACCCTTCCCATTAAAACTCATTCTCCTGTGGTACAAAGAGGAAACTTGTATTTATGGTAGCCTATAAAGACAGATCCATCCTTTCCTCTTGCTGATTTTATTGGCACCCTTTTAGCATACGTGAGCATTATTTTCATATGCAGGGTGAGACTGCAAATGGAGCTGTAAGGTTTTAGAACTGGGAAAGCAGAGAGGGCAGCAGTTAAGATGACAGCTGGAAATGATAGCTGCTCTGGGAATCTATGCAAAAGGAGACAGATGCTCATGCAGGAAAATGGGGAAGGGGAGGCAAAAGGAAAGGCACCTGAATTTCAGTATCCAAGCAAATAGTCGAGATTCATGCTGAGTTTCTTTCCTACCAAAATGATTTTAATTAAAACAATGAAAGAAAATGACTGCTTTCTTAGCTTGGCTCTAAGGCTGGCCTCTCACAGCTGCCTAAAGATAACTCAGTGCAAAAGGCTCTGCCTTCAGAATCTGCACAACTCTCCCATCCCCAGGAACGCTCCAAAAAGCATTATTTACACTGGATTCCCTCCCTTCCTGTTGTACCTATCATGCTGCTCAGAAAGACAACAAGGAGAAAAGATGCTTCTCCCACTCCTCCCTACTAAAGTACAACCAAATCTCCAGATTTTTGCAGAGAGCAGAGGATACCCCTGGGTTTGGCAGGGCTGAGCATGAAGGCACGCATTCAGACACGTGCTGTGCTCTCTATGGAGGTGGTGAGATGCTCACCAGACGTGGAGTGCCATGTTCCTCTGCTGTGGGAACAAATCAGAGCAGCCAAAAAGCAGCTCACCACACTGCCAGGCAGGAAGATTTAAACTCTACATTGCAGTAGGGATGTTCAGTTCTCTTGCAAGCTCATGCACACGGGGAGACACAGCTCTATGCATATGCACCACAGTGAAAAATAAATGCTTGTTCTCCTTCTTAGAGCCTGACCCCTGCTTTATTCCCTGCTAGTCCATTCAAAGCCACGCAGTATAAAGAGATTAAACTGAAATGCATTGCACCAGAGAGACCTTCTGCAGTCCCCTGAATGAAGTCATCACTCCAGCAGCGTCCCCAGGGGGATGAAGAGTTCACAGATGGGTTTTCCCCTCCCTCAGAACACTTAACCACAGGGAGCACACGCACAGGATGATTCACAGGGGATGTCTGTCATTAGCTTTCAAATCCAGTTACGTTTGCATTTCATGGCTTATGACATTTTTGAGAGGGCATTAGAAGGAAAATGAGGGGCTCTCAGTTTTGTCCTGGTGCAAAGTATTGATCAGCAAAGTGCCTGCCAGATACAGATTCCTGAATGATTCCTTCTCAGGGCCCTCTGAAATTCCCTAATACTGTGCTGCAGTGCATGGAGATGTTCTGTAATCACAGGAAAAGAAGAGGGCAGGGGGAGGCTCCTACGTTTGGTCAACTCTTACATTCCAGAGTGCCCAGAATATAGGAGTACAACTTGCTTAACACCTATGGCATGCTTTCCTCTAGCAGCCAGCAAAACCAAAAGGCTTGACAACGGCCCTCGTGATGGGCAGCTCCAAAGCTTGGATCTAATGTCCAGAAACAAGTCAGGTTTGAATTCATACTGCTAGTTATCTACAGACAGCCTTAGTCTTTCTCCATTCTTACACTCCAATCTACTTTGGCTCCTATTTTACTATTAAGAGAACTGAAAACAGCTTTGAGGAGAATTAAACGAAATTCTTTTGAAACTGGGCTTTAAAATTTCATCTCCTGTGTTTATGTTACAGCATAAAACCCGTTGCAAAGTTTCTTTGTTTTGCTTTCAAAGGAAGAATTTGTAAATATCCAGAGCAGCAAAGTGCTAATTCAGTAAAATAGAGGTGCTGAAAGAAGAAAATGTGGTACTCACCTGCAGGAGGGTCTGTAGGGACATGTCAGTAACCCATGAAAGAAAAGGAAAATGAAAAAAAAATTAGTTGTTTTCTACAAGGATTTTGGATTGTTGACCAAATGAATGGCCTGGAAAATCAGAGCCTACATTAACCAAAGCTGCATCTCTACTGAAGGCTCATATTGGCTTCATAATAAAACTAGTAGCTCCCTAATCATGGTGGTTCTTCCCAATTACAGCAGGTGGGAGCACACACAGTTACCATGGCTCATGTCTGTAGGTACCAAAAAATGCATCCATGAATTCGTTTGCTGGGTGATTTAATAAAGATTCTGGCCATCTGGGCTGGGCACTCAGACATGTTGCTACAGTGCTTCCTAACAATGGGGCACAGGGCTGTGATGGGGAACTGAACTGGACACATGTGAACAGAGAAGTGTCAGAAGGGATGTGCTGGTATTGCAGTAGCTGGCATTCATAGGTCTTGCCAGACAATGCTTGCACACATCAAGCTGCAGCCCCAGAAACTCACCCTCTGCTGTATCATTGCATGTTTATGCTCCATCTCTCTCTTCTCCACTGCAGAATCAATCACCAGCTGGTCCAGCTACAGTGGGGGAGAACGCAAAGGAGAATTATGAGCTTATGAGTCCATCTCTACAGCGCTGCTCTATGGCTCTACCAACCCTCCCCAAAACTGTAAGCCCTCACAAGAGGGGAAAAGGGCCCCAGGCTGTGTTTGGTTGGGCACTGGAAGTTACTGTGGCTCCTGGCTGCTACCCCAACTGTGCAGCAGAGTGCATCCATCAAGCAGCTCAGATGCTCTGTCCACTCCATGATTACCAAGTACTGAATGGGAACAAGGACATCCTTTCAGGACAAAAAGGGTACAAATGGGCAGATTGAATCAGACAGATTCTCTATCCCTCACCTCTATGGCAAGCTTCTTCATGTAGGGATCCAGCTCATGGAGAAGACTGTAGCCCTGCTGGAAGAAGGTGTACTGGGCATGCATGAAGGACAGCATCTGGGGAGAGAAATAAAAGCAAGGTTGGAAGAGGACAGCATGAGGAGTTCTTAACCCTTATTTCCCACAAAGAACATCCCCTCAAGGCACAGCTCTAACGCTTTCCTTTCCCAAACCAACTTATTCACTATGTGCCTCTCCCTCTTCTCTTCTTTCTTCCTGTCACAAATCCTTGCACGCTGCCAGGTAACCCTTGTCTTGAGCACAAAGCACTGAGAGCAGCATCCTTCACCCCTTAGAGTACCCTCTGGGTCAGGGCTGTGAAGTACTGCTCTGGGCCTTCAATCTCCCCTCTTGTTAGCATACCTGCAGCCCCCGAGCAGTCCCAGACAGACAGAATCTCCAGGGCAGACCGAGGAGTTGGTATGCTGACCCATGCAACCTGAAATGGAGAGGGCTGCCTTTCATTGAGTCACTGAGAGCAGCCAGAGAAAACACAGAGCCCTTACCGCATCCAGTATTTCAAACTTCTTCTTGGCCTGCAGGACATTGATCTGTGAAGGGATCAAGATAAGACTCTCAGCATCAGCAGCATTAGGGAGTCCAATATGGGGATTTAAGTAGGAACAACTTGTTGCAGTGCCCCTAGCAGCAAAACAGAGACTATTCAAGGACAGTACCACAGAGCCAGCTTCTGAAAAGGTAAGCTCCAGATGGAATAGAAAGGATAACAGCAGAGAAGTTTTCTGACCCATTGATTGAGATCTCTGCCAGATGTACGTTTGTACATAAGCTGACAACAAATAGTGACCCTGGAGACTCATTTGGCATCATATGAAGGATGTGTTTAATCCATCAGGTCACTGGTTTGATTTCCCTTTGCAGGCTGAGAGGAATCGGTGCAGCATCACAGGCTTTTTTAATAAGCATAGTGGAGCCTATTGTGAAATTGTACCTGCAGTGGGCCTACGTTCTCAGTGTACAGACCCTTTGCATGCTTTTTGCAGAGAAAAGTGCCTGGCTGACTGCCCCAAAGATCCCTGCAGCCCCTTCACACTGAAGCAGCAGTGGTTAGGATGATCTGAGCCATTGCCAATGCTCTTGGGCTCCTGGGGTGTGGAAGAAGAGGCCTGCTTCACGAAAGGAAAAACATCCTCAAGGTTTAAAATCAAAAAATAAATAAACGTGAGAGGCTGAGAACTCACCTAGTTCAGCAGCATTTCAAAAATGAAAAAGAAATAGCTGGTAGCTGCATAGCACCTTGCCCACAGACCCCACAAGCTATGCTGGTAAGTTTAAAGTGCTGCAATTAGCACTGAAAAACACTGTCAGCTGTAGCAGAAGGCTTCTATGGGGTTTCAGCTGTGTCACAAACAATATGTTCCCATGACAGTCAATTCTAGTGTTAATAACTCACTCACAAATGCAGTATCAGTTTGCTCGAAAGCATTAGGCTTGCAGTAAGTTCATTTTTGCTGTGAGCCAAGCCATTCCTTTTCCCACATATTTGAGCTGGGATTGTGGCAGGCAATCTTGCTGCAATTTGGGTATAGTTTTAATTAATGAAAAGAAATTGCCCCTCAGTTGTGTGGCCATTCAGGTTCAGGAAAAAGAATTTGACACAAATATACAAGAATACAATTATAACTCTCTTCAGTACATCCTTAATTAAACACTAAATAATGCCTGGGCAGCTTTACATCTATGCTTTTTGGGACTAATAGATTTAGATTGGTACCTTGCAGTAGGCCAACAGGGAAATTTCCCCAGTTTTGGATCAGCACATTAAAGAAACTCTTCCTCTTCGTCAGTGGGACAAATGGCATTTGACAGAGTTTACTAGAGTGTGACCTGAACAGCAAACACTTTCAATCATCCTAGATGCAAAGACTTGTAGTCCTAGAGGAGTGAAGACATGCATGATTTATACAGCAAGAGGAAAGCATTGCTTTTTCAGCTGCACTGGGACTACCCCATGATCAGACAAAGCATGTTGGCAGATGGTCTCTGTTTGGTGCTGCAGGAGTGACAGTGGAGCCACACAAGGATCAGTAAACACAGTTTGCTTCATATGCCCACTGCTCAGAATGACAGACCTGATGTGAAGCCTATGGGTGACTCAAAGAAAAATCCTTCATCATTCTGGATGCAGCAAATGAGTGCTCCTGCATGAAATCTCCCACTGGGAAGAGAAATTCCATCTAAAGAAGCATTTAATTTCTTATTGAAAAGTGATTGAGATTTTCCTTCTTATTTTTGCTGTAACATTTTTAGGAAGGAGAAGATATATGCATGTAGTTGTGTCAGTGCCATGCGAAGACAAATATATGTAAAAACAATGACAGCAGCTGAAGGCTTGGGGAAGAGTCTCTCTTCTAGCACTCATACCCTCATCCTGTGGCTATTTCAAGCAGACAGGCTTTCACAGAAATAGGCTGGGTTCTGACAAAAGGCAGCTCAAAGAATCCTGAAACCTACTGCAATGTGATGGCACAGCTACACCAGGAACTGGAGCAAACCTTGCTGCTTTCACACCCTCACACACCAATTCCAACGATGCCCTGAGGACAAAGGTTAAAACATTCCACGAATTGGCAAACCGAAACACTTCTGAACCCCATTTGTTCCTCTCACTCATCAACTTCTAGGGCAGATTTAGCAACCTGCCTGTGATGCTTCGTTCTGGGAGATGCAGCCATAGCAGAGGGAGGAGACACCAACCTGCAACACGTAGTCGAGGGCCAGATGCCGAAAACATTTTCTGGTTATGGTCAGGGTTCCTGTTGCCTCCTCCACTTCATGGGGTTTGTGCCGAGGCGCCTGGGCGTTCTTCACCAGTGAAATCTCCATGTCTTCTCTCACTTTGTCAAACTGTTTCTTGGTTTCCTTGAATTTCCGGACATCACTGAAACCCAAAGAAGTTGAGGTGGTGGGAAATCATTGTTACACCACGGGTAGAATATTGCTGATAACAACTGAGGAGGGAGGGATGGAACCAGGTGCACTATGATCACTCAGATCTTGCTCCAGATGTCCCTGGCATCCTAACTCACCCCACAAAGTGTCACTGTGTCCAGCTGGACTGGCTCCAGACAAGCATTAGATTGGCTTCAGAGAAACTTGGCAAGGAAAGATGCCGGATCTTACACAGTGCCTTCAAAGCCTTAAGGAAATCCTCCCAGGACAGCATCCAGAAAGCTAAGCCCACATCCAGCCCTACGTACAGACCACACCTGCCCTCAGAAGAAGCAGTGAGTACAAAATTTCAGATCCTGTCTGTAAAAACACATGCCTCCTCTTTCACTCTGTGACAAAGAACAAAACCAGCTGCTTTTCCAATTCAGGAGAGGGCATTCAATCAGAGCAGCCAGGCCATCCAGCTGATTCTGTCTATCTGATTCAATCCCAGGCATTTCACTTTTTCCCCTTGTACACTAGGCACATTGATTTTTGCAATGGGAAATACCTGATTCACAATATCAACTTGCTATGCTTTATTCGTGCCTCATGAATCATGAATGATGGTGAACAGATGCAGTGCTCACCTCTACTTTCTACCCATGGGACTTCTGCTTACCTCAATGACAAATTGTTCTAATAACTTAACAAAACAGTTGAAAACTGCCAGTAAATAAGTAGCACCCACCTATTCTTTGCCCTAGGGCAGATGAAGGTATGACAACAGCCAGTGACAGCTGAATTCAGCCCGATGGCAAACTATTTGAAACTGCATGCACTGATGTATGGATCAGCCTCTGGCCAACTTAACCTACAGCCTCCTCTCCTCTGCATATTCACCGTAGGAAGGAGCAGGAGTTTGGAGGCATGAGATGCTGCTGGGGAATTCTCAGCTCACCCTCCTAAACCAGGCTGCAGCGGGATGACTGCAGCCATAGCTAATACAAGCCTCCTACTCAGCAAGGTTTGCAGCCCAGCAATGTGCTGAGGCACTCACAGAGCATCTGGCTACTGACAGCACCATCAGGGCAAGCTGGCTTCTTCCATGTTTACCACCCAGCAGAGACCTTCAGGGCTTAAGGATGTAGAAGGCAGGCTAGGAGGTGAATATTGCCCTCATATATATGAATCACCATGTAAGGAAATAGTTTACATTTGTTCTTTATTCCCATCCTCAAAATGGTTCCAGGTGTAGAAATGACCTCCCCAGTTAAGGGCAGGAGCAATGCAAAGATCCACCCAACAGAGCCTGCACGTGCAGAGGCTGAGCAAAGCGAACGTGAAAAGTAAATTGCAAAGATGCTGAAAGGATGACAGAGCCAAAGTGAAGGTGAAATTCCCTTTCCCGCTGCCAGCTTTAAGCAGATTAAATCTCAACTCATCAGAGAAATGATTATAGAGAAAGTGGGGGTAGGGTGAGTGCCAGGCAGGAGGTTGGGGAATGGGGGGGGGTCAGCTGGGGCTCCCTACACCAAACCACACAGCTGCTGAGGGATTCAGTCACTGGTTCCCATGGCAACCAGATCGTGCTTAGCTGGAGGCCTGGGATGCCTCTGACCTACATTCAGCCAATTTGGGATCCCACACTGCACGTGGTACCTGCCCCAGGGAAAAGATGCTCTTGGAGGAAGCTGTTAGCGCAGAGATAGCAGAGAGAGATTGCTGAGACTTCATCACAGCTACAGACTGTCCCCATCCAACTGGCTTCCTGGGCCACTCCAGCCCTGGGTGACTGAGCACACCATGCAGGGAGCCAAGAATACATTCATTTGGATGGGTCTTGAAGTTATTGGGCACGGAAGTTCTTCCCTTCTGCAAGCATACATCAGTTTACTGCAAGCACGCAGTGGTTTCCATCAAGGAAATTCTGAATTTAACATAACACCAATGTGGAGCTGGCCCTGATCTGCACAGATCTGAGCACTAGAATTTGTTTGACTTCCAGACTCAGTGTGAGGGGAAGGAAGCAGAGGGGCTCTGCAGAGGAACTCTGCCAGACTTCGAGATGCTGCTCTGATCTGGAATTATGCCTTGTGTCCAGCAGCAGCCATCACAACAGATCCTTTATTCTGCCTTCAGTGTCTCTTCTGCCCCAAGCAGAGCCTTCAGTGCTATTTCCAGTAGAAGTTGAAGAAGCTGAAAACCAAATTGATAAGACAAATACTCACTCTTTCACAAAATTGTGCAGCTGCTGTCGAACAGACCTCTGAGCCTGGTCAAACAGGATCTGAAAGAAAAGAAAAAGAATATCAAATATGTTTGCAATATGGAAGCATTTAGGAGCTAGCAAACAGATGCCATCTAGGACCTTAGCATTACTCCAGGGTTTGGTCATGCCCACTGCTCAACTGTTATGCAATGACTTGTTTTGCCCTCTGGCTACAGTAGTCCCTTACAATGCAGAGCTCCTGCACTGCAGCTCTCCAAGCATGTGAGACCTGAGCCACCAACCTACTTTCTTAAAAGAGCAACCATCTCTAGAGCCAATTCTGAACCATCTCTCTCCAGAGCCTCAAATTGCTCATTTTGCCAGAGGAGGGCACTGTCACCTCAACACCACAGTGTCCTGGGAAGTAGACAGGAGCATCGTCTGAAGGCCCATCAGACCCACATGCTGATGAACATAAGTCCAAGAAAGGTGGTATAAACAGTTAGTTCCTACAGATCTTTCACACATTACACTCCTGTCTATTTCTCACAAAAAAATATAGGACCATTTCTCTACACCCTCTGCTCATCTCATCCCCAGCCCTTCCCACCTTCCCTTAAAAGAAGGCACAAAGGAGCCTGCTCAGCTCCCTTCCATCCATCCCTCTCTGTTCCAGACAGGGCTTGAGATGCACAGGATCTTGGATAATTGGGACCAGATGGAGAGAGGCTCCCAGACCACACAGCTGCTGCAGCAAGGAGGGCATCTCATCCCAGGGTTACACAGAGAAGCCTTTGGTCAGGCAGCAGCTAGCAAGAGTGACCCATGAGCAATGGACAAGGACCCCATCTCACTTCAGGAGCACAAGACCCAGGCACTGGCCCAAGCCTTAATGAAGCCCTGAAACATCAGTGCTGGAGTCTGGCATCACTGCAGCTGTTTGGCATGTGTAGCCTTGGCTCGTTTGTTCCAACTTCACATTGTGTCCCGGGCAGCCAGCTGAATGTAGATCACACAGCAATAATTGGGCCTTTCCTCCTAAAGGAGAAATGGCATTTCCCAATCCAGCATTTGGCCTTGCTTTCTCTCCTCAAATGACCACAGCCCTTTCAGCAGAGGCTGTCTGAGCCACAGAATGAGTTTGCTCTTTTTTTCTTTCTCTTTGAGACAAGCTTAAGATTCCCAGTGGGTGGTTTTAAAGCAGGTTCTCTTGAAACCCCACCCAATTATCCAAGATTCTGTGCATTACTGGGCTTATGTAGATAAGAGCAGTCTGGGAATTCAAAGGAGCATCACTATGTTCTCAGCCCCAGACCCAAATGCTCTCCATCCCTCTTTATGCACTGGAGCATGGGCCATGTTCTCAGTCTCTGCATTTTTTACCAATGTAAATTATTCACTGCTCTTGGCATCCATTTGCCCTTCCAGAGAGAACTCCAAGAACTATTTGTCTGCATTTTTTCACATGGAGCAGCTTCCCTAAATGCTGTTTGTGCATTGGTGATGCTTCCCTCTACCCATGATACCATGGCAGGGATATACAGATGGCAAGAAAGCCTTCTGGCATCCACCTGCACCTCCATCTGGAAAGCTTCCATCACTGGTTTCCACTGGAGTGATAAGTTCAGGGAAAGGAGGATATGAGCCTGTGGTGCAGATGAGCATTTTAAAGTAGAATATACATTTAAATACATCTGATACATCTGTATCAGAACAGGAGAGCTATACATGTAAGGAAAAAAAGACGTGTACAACCATATACTGTTCTGCTCATGGTCCTCTCCCCTGCTCCTATTACACCATAAGGCCATGCTGACCTCCATCCCAGTCTTCCCATGGTGCAAGCTTTGGGCAGGGGCTGACAGTTGTGGTGAGAGGATACCAGATAATAAATATGCCTCTCCTGCCAGCTGCATCTCTGCTCAGGAACACTGATATCCACATTACTCTTTATTTCCTCTTACATTTAGCCAGGTAAGATCAAGACAGCATACCCAAGTAGGTCCCACCTAATTTCCAATGCAAAATAAATGGAGTTTAAAGACCCAGAATTTCAACTATAAAATCATTCTTTGGCTTATTCTCTTTTCCCAGACATACTTGGAACAAATCATTTGGGATAAGATTTTCCAGACCAAATATCACCCCACCCTCTCTCAGCTTCCACCAAGGCATGGGAAGTCCAGCCTATGACTCACACACATCTGTGTTGAGGAGGGTCAGCATGAAGGAGAGGAGTTAACACAGCTTTTATTCCCATCTGGTTGGGCTGTGTGGTTTGGCCCTGCCTCTCTTAAGCGATGGCACAGCAGATAAATGCCACCCATAAACAGAGTTCCATCTGCAGTGCCTCTGGAATGCAAGCCAACAGCACTACTTTGATTACAGCTTTGGGATGTCAACCAATCACTTCAGTTCATGGGATGCTTGTTCCTGCCCCTCACGTATTATCAAAGCTGCTTCTCCCTTCCTGGAAAATAAAAGCAGATTTCTTAAGATATTGTAGAAATGCCCCAAAATCTGTCTTTCTGAAACTTGGGATCCAGCACTGGCATCAAACCTCAAACAGTAGCATCTCATCCAAGCCTAATGTAATGTCATTGCACTAGGACACAACTGTGGCACCAGGAGATGGGACAACATCCCTTGTCAGGTAGTAATTGGGTATCCTAAACTGATGCTGGGTGCACCTGGACCCTCCCCAGTGCTAGCAGAACATGCAAGTGGTGCACCCAGCCCTGGGGACAGCAGGCAGCTTGGAAGCACTCTGCTCTCATCCTTCCCTGAACTCCACCACTGTCCTCCACCCATGACATCTGCCATCTGCCCCACTGACTCATCGCAGCTTGGGTGGCTTTTCTTCTTGTCAGCAGGAAACGTTTCCTGGCTCATTCAGCACAGCCAAACCTCCCCTGCAAGCTGCTCCAGCTCCTGCTAGAGGATCCTTAGCAGAGCTGCAGTGACCTGTGGCAGACAGGGAAGGTTTGGTGGAGCTCACAGTGATGCCTGGAGGAATAATGGTGAGGGCAGTGTTCACGAGCTGGAAAATACCTGGTGCTGCTGATGGTGCTCTAAGGGGGCTCAGACAGAGCAGCCTTATCTCAGCACCACTTTCACCCTCATCCTCTTGCTTTCCTTATCTTTCTGATTAGATAGAGACAAGGAACTGCATGGGAAAGAGCACAAAAAAGTGCAGATAAGGATGTCAGAAAGCAAACGTGTAGGCAGGCTGGCAGATAAATTAAAGGGAGGCTTTGTAGCTGGGAGCTGCTTGGGGATTTTCTCTATTTTGATTTTTATTGATCGTTTTTATGGGTTGATTTTTGTTGATTGTTTTCTCCTAATGTCTTTCCCACCTTTTTATTTATTTACCAGCTCTAGTAGCCCTAGACAGCTAGCCCATAGCCCCTTCCCCACACCTGACCCCATGTCCTACACTGTTAATGCAGCAGTGAGCCACGTAAGTACAGTTAGTCACATTCTCACGTGCCTTTGGGATTAATACTGCAATGGAATGTGAAATGTCAACACAAAATGCTTTCAGATACATTTGTGAGGTCTTGAAATGGCCCAAGATGGTTCATGGAACAAAACTGCTTTTGTGAATGAAAATGTCACAGGGACTGTCCCTTTCAGAAGGCTCTTCCCATGTTTGCTCTTGGCACTGATTCCTTCAGTACATCTTTCTCACTGGTTCTGGTGACTCAAACCCTTCCCCTGGGTTTGGGTTGCTGTTAGGAATTCCCTTGGTCAAGCTGGTCCAAAGGAATCCAGAGAACATCCCCTCCCTTCTCCAGCCTTCTCCCTACTCGAGGCTGCAGAGAGCTGCCTTGAGTACAAAGGACAAAAAAGAGAAGAAACCAATGGCATGAGTGGAAAACCCAAGTTCCTGAAATAGCAAGGAATTCTTCCACCACTGTAAATATCCAGGTGACCCTCAGGAAGGAAATGTGCCCCCAAGAGGAAGGCAGAGCAATACCCAGAGAGAGCTGCCACAGTTCCTTCCTGACCCCAAGTGCTTTCATCCCAAGCATGTGAATAGGAAATCTTCCCATCTCTCCAGCTCACAGCTCCCTGCACCTGACTCCATGTAATAATGATTATAAACACTCCAATGCCATCCCACTTCATAACTGATTTCACCTCCTCATGCATCGAAAAAACAGCAGGCAGCACTGCAGTGAACTCCAGCCTAACCTGAAGTTTTGGGAGCAAAAAGATCCACTTGAAGTCTATGGTTTATCAGGATTTTTTTGGCAGTGGGGTGTAAACAAAATCATGAGTTTCTGCACTGCTGTAATTCCAAGCACCAATGCCTTGGCCTTACAGTATATGTCCAGTGGCAAATAATTATAAGCTACCCTTCTGGACCTGGTAGGCAACTCTGTGCTGCTTTACCTACAGGGATACCTTGTAATACTTAATTACGTTCATAATACATTGCATAAAAAGAGAGAAAAGTCATTTTCTCGTGTGCAGTCTGGCTGATTGCTGATGCCTTTCAACTTGTTTTGTGCTTTGGGGAGATTGAGAAAGAGGAAGGAAGGAGGTGAGCAAAAAAACAAACAGGTTCTGGAGCTGATGGCAAGCATCTGTCTGTAGACAAGCAAGGAGCTTTCCCAGTGCAGAAGAGCTTGGCAAGCCACAGTCAAAATTTATTGACTGCAGTGTGGTATGCAGTGAGGAGGAGGGCTCCCAGGGCAGACCTCAGCCCCTCCAGCAAAATTCCAGCTCATGCCACTCAGCTCATGAGAAAGGAAATGAATGGTTCCCATTGGCGAGCTGTGCAGGAAAGTTGCTGCAAGGGTCTGGCATCTCTGTCTGCCACCCACTGCACAAACATCCCATGGAGGAGGCTGTGAACTGCTCCCCTATGAGTGCTGCAGGGAGCTTTCTAACTCCTGTGCATGCTTTGACAAGGAAGAAGGCATTAGCCCAAGTGCAGGTGGCTAAGAGTACAAAAAGGCACGGAACGCAGACTTGGCTCCTCTGAACTAAATTCACTCTTCTGTCATCTGTCTCCCAAAGGATGCTGTGATGATTTTTGCTCTTGGCACATTAAGACAAAGGTGGTAATGCTCTGGAGCTCAGTGTGTTCATCTGCTAGAGTTTTACTCTTGGATTCTGCTGAACTAGAAGCTGGATATCTCCTGGCCGAGTTCTCCAGCAATAAAGTTATAGAACAAGCTTTTTCAACCAACTTTTTGGGACATTTTCCCTTCTTTTTAACTTGTTCCAGTTGTACATACTGTCCTGGCTGAAAGCCTAGATTAAGCACTGACAACTGCTTCATAGCTGAGCTCCTCAGACGTGGATGAGCCAAGATACACATCCACACACACGCAAGCACACACACACAAAGGAGATGGCAGAAGGCACTAAAAATAACTCCACTAATTGAACAGCCTTCATCTGACAGCGTGGAAGATGCAGCAGTCAATCCAAAGCCATTTCCTGGAGAGGGACTGACACTGCTGTGCAGCCAGGGGAGAAGGATGCTATCCACAGGCCAGGGGCAGAAAGGATTTCAGCACGTTTTCCCTTATGCATGCAGCTGGTGATAGCCCCTGCGTCACCTTTTAGTGGGAACTCACCCCTGTGGACAAGGGTGGGGTGCATGGGAAGAGTTACACCACCTCAGCTGGGAATTTGGCAGCCCTGGGAAGGGTCCTTCTGCTTATTAGTTGGCTGAGGCAAGAGCAATCCCAGAAGTGCCACTTTTGGCAGAGAGCAGGGATCCAGGGGAAGCTGCACAGCTGGCGTGGGGAGCCTGCAGCCAGCAGCCAGCAGTGCAGCTGTGATCCCTGGGAACGGAGGAGTAACTCCTGGGGCTCACGTCCTCCTTGGCAGAAAGGACACGTTGTCAGAGGGAAATTCAGCAGCATCAGAGAATCAGGATTTGATGTTCTCTGCGTGGACAAGAGCACACCTTTTTGCTGATGCTCATACTGGTTAATTCAATCTCTCCCCACCACCAGAGCCACTGGTTGCACTGTTTGAATATTTGATGATTCCAGGAGAGCTGGAAAACCTCTTTTCCCTGTCATTTTTCACCAGACCACTCTCCTACCTGCTTCCTGAAATAATCACACAGATTTGACGCAGCTTCTTCTCCAGCTGTACGCAGTTAACTTGTGTCTCAAATGCAAGCATCACGCCTAATGCTCTGCGACCAGCATGGTACAAAAGTGGGTCAATCCAGTGCTGACACCCTGAAGCTTCTTCCACTTTAAAGCATTTGTGCTTTAAACTTCAACTGAGTTCCAGACTTCAAAATTGTGGTTCTGGCGTGGAGCTACAATGGATGAAGCACCTTCCTCTTCTATAAGATTTACAGATGCTGTGGCTGGATGCTTGGGACTTACCATGTGATAGTTGATCATTTCTTGCAGACTGTCCCCAAATTTGTCGAGGCACTCCTGCAAAAGAAAGGTAAAAGAAAACTAGCAGTGAATAGAAGCAGCTGCCCTTCCTCCCCAGGGGTTCAAGGGTCTAAGAGGGACTCTTGTTAAGTCACTGAAGGGCCACTCCATCACTTGGCAAGAAGATGCTCAACAAACATCTGGCATAGAAGTCACAGGCTCCCCAGCCTTCCCAGGTTAGTGCTGGAATCACCATGCCAGCTGTTTCTTCTGCAGGCTGCTTACCCGTGCTTCCTAAATAACTGATGCTCACTGACCTAGATTGCAGTAACCTTGCCAGCACTGTGGCTTCTTAAAAGTGCAGTTCTTCCTGCAAACGATGAATCTGGCCGTGATCTTTCAACACTGCATTATCAGACAGTCTCTATATTCCAAATAGAAAATCTCATACTAAAGAGATATTTAAGCAGTAAAAAAGGACTTGGACATACAGTCCACACACAGCATCAGGAAGCCTACCACTCCCCAGCCCTCATCCACTTTGCAGGATGACTTACCGAAATCATTTCATCTTTCTTGCACTGTTGTGACAAATCCCTGACTCCGCTGACAAAGTGCTTGTTTGTGGTGATGTAGGCTTTGCCTGCTTCAATCATCCCACTGCATAGCTTCACCAGCTGCACAAGGAGAGAGAAGATAGGCAGCTGATCACATTGAACTGAAATGCAATCGGGCTGGTCTTAATGTGCATCATCATCACAGCACAAGACCTTCAGGACAGGATGCTAAATGAGCAACCATGGCTGCACCAGGCAGGTTCAGGGATGCACACCTCACTTCTCAGAGCATGTCACGCTGTCAGCGCTTATCCCTTAGGATGAATCACTGCAGGCTCACCCCTGGGGACAGGTGAACCAGGGCAGCCTATCATCTCCTGTGAGTTTCCACCGTTCATCAGATGCTTAGGCATCAGGTCTGCACGTTACTCACGTGCATGTTAAAATATGCCATCCCCATCAGCAGCTTTGTTGGAACTCCAGGGGAGCTCCCTGGATCTTGCAGCTTCCTAACTTGGGAACAGGTTTGCTGCAGCATGGACATATATCTCCAGAGAGCCTTTATTGACTTCTGATAACTTAACAGCTGCTGGGAACATTGCCAGACTTCCCATCCGCAGCGAACTGCCTTCATGTGCCTGGAATTGGCTGTAAAGACAGCAACATCCTGGCCCTAAGTATGTCTCCTTTCACCCAAACCCCTTGTAAAAAGGTCGAGTGAAACAACACAAATCCATAAACCAAAGACCCAAGAGATCTGCAACATTAATGGATGATCACAGAGCTTTTTTTTTTTTTAATTTTTATTTAAATAATCACTGTTTTAGGCTTTTTAACAAAGTGAAACACTTCAGCTGCTGACAGTGAACAATGCTTGAAACTGAAGTTTTCCATTCTCAAAATCCAGGTGCTTTTTAGGGATATTGATCTTACTAATGATAAATGGCTTTATAAATCTACCCACCTGCCTGCCTCACCTACAGGTGATGGGGAGCTCTCAAGTCTGGCTTGCTGTCAGAGCCCACCCAAACCAGTGTGCATTATCTGTGCTGTGTTTTTGCAGCCATAGGCTCTGGGGTCTGTGCTGAGCCATGTTCTGTGCACATGTATTACAGAACAGCCTTGCCTCTGTCTGCAGTATTGTAAGAATACAGCAATATATAAATATACATGCAGTCACACACGGTGTATCTGTGTCTACACTGTACATACAGTCCTCACTCCTTCACACTCACCTCCTCCCCTGTCCACACAATCTAGCAGAGCAGCACTGGGAGCCAGCAGAGAAAGAGAGCAAATAGATGCAGCTCCTGTCACATCTGGAACCCAGATGGACACAAAGGTTTGGACAGATCCTCTGGAAAGGAAACTCAGCCTATTCTGCAACGTGGCGGTTTCTAGCAAACATTCCTGTGTGCAAACATTTGTGGCCAAGGCTGTCTCACTAGTAGCTGAAGGCCACTCAGCACAAGCACACTTTGAAATCACATTTCCTACTTCTTGAAAAACATCAGAGAGCTCAGACACCATTGGTAGGAAGCGTGTCTGTGACAGCTGGAGGAAAACCTGAGGTCACACTGCACAACCAGGATATCACCGTAATTGCTGCCAGTAGAAGAACAAGATTGCATACATCTGTTGCTTTACTGCAGTCCTCAGCCAAAGGAGCTCAAATCACTTTGCAACAAAGCACTGAACAACCCAAAGCTGAGAGCCCTGCGCAGCTTTTGTACTTGCAGCCTCCCCTTCTTGCCCTGCTGGTTCCTTGGCACAACAAGCTGCCTAACTTTGGGAGCACTGACAGCAGCAGTGCTTCAATCAGAGCAAGCTGTGCCCCATGCTTCGTCCTCAGCACCTCAGGCTTGACCATAGAGCAAGACAGACAACCTCAATCCCTCTGCAGCTTTCACCAGTGAGACTAGTTAGCTTGTGCAGGTGTCCACTTCTAGCAGCTTGAACACTAAACAGGTTTTGTAGGACACAGGTTTGCCTAGAGCTGACTTCAGCAAAGCCATTTTTCCATCAGACATCATAGGGTTTTTCTTCCTTGCTTGCTCTGCCAGCAGCTCTTCTGGCTCCTCCTCTTCACTTCTCTGTTCTCATTGAGAAACAACTTGGCTGATGTCTCAGACTTCAGGAGGAGTGGGGGTGGAGGAGGCGCCTTCGAGCATAAAGCCTCTGACTCAGACCCAAGCAACCTCAGCACTCCCACACCGCTGTCCCTTCATCCTTCACAAAGCTTCAGAAGCAATGGACACCCCTGGCCCACCTCCCTGCAGCATCCAGCAGGGCAGTGAGAGAGCTCCTCACGTCTCAGTTGAGATGGTAGAGAGGGGAAAAGGACAGCACTGCAATACCTCACCACAGCAAGAAGGCAGCCCCCTCAGATCCAGGAGCAGACAAGAAGACCACTGTGCAGCATTATGAGTCCTCTTGTCCCAATTTTGGACGTTGCAAAGAAGCCCTGACAGGTGCCTGTCAGTAGAGGGAGACATGGTCCTATAGACAAGCCCAGTGTGTTATTATACATCAGCTGACTGACAGCCTGTGATGGACCCTCGTTTTAGAGGAGGCTGGTAGGCCATATTCCTCAGCAGGAAGCCATCAGTCCCTCTTCCAACCAACATGCTAAGCTGCTCCATCTTACCTTGTCAAGCTTTGCCTCTATCTCCACCACATCTGTTTCCACTTCATCGATGGTTGCCCTGAAATGAGAACATTGAAGCCATAATTAATCGGCTGCTTATGATGATTGAAAAGTCACAGAAAAGGAAAGATCAGAGAGATTACAGTATGTGTGCTGCTGGGGGACATGAAGGAAGGATTCATACTTCTCCCTGTGTAAGCCCAAGTCTTACCTTTAGGAGGAAGAATCCCACCTGATCAGGAATGAATTCCACAGGGCTGACAAAAGGGATGGAGATTATGCTATCCTCCATCAGTGTCGTGGAGGCATTCAGCTGTAGTGTGACAGTCACACACAGCAAACTCAGTGGCCCTGTTCTGACCCTGCAGGCTTTGCTAATGGGTGGCACTATACTGAGTGGTGCAGGCACCTCAGCCATCCACTCACAAACTGCGTGCTTCCCCACCACCAAAACTGATTTCCTAAGCTGTAGTTGTGCCTGAGGAGCAGCCACACGGTGAGTAATGTCCTCTGAGCCTCAGGAACAACCACTCAAGCAGAAACACATCTCTGGTCCTTCTGTCATTGAAAACCTTAATTCTCCCCCACACGTGTGGCACTTTGGTTGCATACAGACAAATCTGCTCCACAATTAATGGATCTGTTTTTTCTCCACGTCAGCAGACAGATGTGACAGTAAGAGGCCAGTGGGATCCAGCTGCAAAGGTCACCAGGCCTCCCTCACAAAGTGAAATAGCAACGTGACATCAGCCATTTGCAAGAGGCATTCCCAAGCCGAGCCATGTGGAATGGAATGACTTTTTTAAAGGCCAGCATCCAGCAGCACACGTTGCAAACTTGAGAGCCTGCAGAGCTGCTTGCTGTTATCCTCTGCTTGCACAGCTCATCCTTTAACCACACACCTGGAAATGTGGTAAGCCTCACACCATCGCTATGCACTGAGGATATGCAATCTAAATTCCACTGCAAACAGCTTCTTACATCTGCGGGCTCGTAATTTAAAATGTTGGTTCCTGAAATATTACACTTGGGCTTTAAAAATAATCCAGTGCTGTACATTTGCCAGGTGAAAGAACAGTAGGGGAGAGATGTGATTTAGAGGCACGGGAATCAATATTCCTATCACAGCAAAAGGGAAGGATGCTCACAAACCAAAGGGAATGGCAAAAGTTCTGAAGGAACCATTTGAGCATGTAGGAATTCTATGCCTCCAAGCTCTGACCTGACCCAAGGGCTCCTGCAATGTGAAGATGTATTGCCCTGTAGCCAGGGACCTTCTGAAGACCCACTGGGCTTCTGCTTTCCTGCTTTCTCCCACAAACCATCCCAGCTCCTCCCTGAGCAGCTCTCCAGAACCCAGGCATCAATCTGAGCTCACCCTCCATCAGTAGGACTGCAGACCAAGCCCTGGTGATTCATGATGCAAGTGCAGCCTCCCTTGTGCCCTCTTTGAAAACACAGCCAAAAAAGAAGCTTCTTCCTCTCTAATAATGCAGCAGTGCTTGAGCTTTATTGCAGCACATACGGTTGCCCTATAGGAATGGCAGCCTGGCTGTGCCAGGGGCAAAGCTTTTGAAAGAAATGGAATAATTAAAGAGCTGCTTTCAGGCCGTTTTTTTGTTGTTTTTTTTTTTTTTTTCCCTCTTTCAGCTATTTTTGTTCTCTGGGTTTGGAAGTCGTGTGCCTTCATGCATCGCCCTCTTACTGCCAGATTCAATTTTTCCACTTGGTTTCTTCTTGCTTCTTATAGCTGGACATAATAACCAGCTAAAAAAAAAAGAAAGAGAGAGAGAGACAGTATTTCTGGGGCTGCTTTTCTTTCCAGGAAAGCAACAGCAGCCGTTGCTTAATCTGCCGACATCAGCTAGAAGCTAATATAGCAAGGCAGTCTAGCAGTGTGTTTCCTGCCAGAAGGTGGAGAGAGCATCTATAATTTACTCCCCTTTTTTATCATGCCCTAAGAAAAGGAGTTGATATATTTGGACTCTCCGTGGAGGAGGAAGACATTTTGGGTCTGGAATCCACTAAGGTATGAATACAATTGGCTATGGCTGGGGCAGCGTGAAACCTGAGCTTTACATTTGCTGCACAGATTTGATATAAAGGGTCCCAAGCATTTGATTTCAAGGATGTTGTCTCAGGGACCTTTTCAGTTTCAGGACCCTGGCAGAGCTCACATACATCACAGGAAGCCAGGGTGAGCATTCAGCCACCCTTGCCAGCGAATGAAGACGTTGGAGAGATGCACCATGAAGCAGGAAGGTGCAGTGCAGCCATGCAATCAACCCAGATATTCTGGAAGTGCAGGACAAAAGGACCTCATCCTCTGCCAGGTGCCCAATTTCTACCCCACAGTGTCTTTTCCTTTATGCCTGGTCTCCTTGGCAAGGGACCCTTCTTTGCACAGCTCTGCCCTTTGCTCCTTGGGAAGCCATGTAAGTGCTTGCACACAAACTCACCCCAGTCCCTCTGCAGGAGCAAGTGCACCAATGCCAGAAGACCTCATTATGATCTGCTCCAATGCACTGCAAACAAGCTGGTAAGGAGCTAAAGCAGAGATCTTTCTGGGCAGGCCCAGAGCACAGTGCTCCAAGGAAAAAGCCCTGGGCAAAGCCACAATTCCAGATTCTTGAACACCTCATTTCCCATCCTTCAAGATTACAATATCCATAAGTCCACCCTTGGACTTATGGAATTCAGAATGTCCTTATCCTGCTTACAGATATGATGCCAGAGTCCACTGGAAACTCTTTCCTTGAGAAATAATAGGTTTCAACTGGCTCAATTCTCTGCCAATATCATTTCTAAACTCAAATTCTCCCACTTCCACCAGCGTGTCACAGATAAAAGGCTTTCCAGTTACACAAGCAAACTGACAACCTGGAATAACTCCATGGGGATGAGTAATGCCACCTCAGCATCCTCCTTCGCTGCTCCATCCCAAAGGACCACAGAAGCAAGAGAAAGCAGCACAGCAAGAGGCACTGCAGCTGCAGTGTGCACACAGGGATGCTCAGCACTTAGGGCTCACATCCTAAATGCTCACAGCTGGAGGCATCTGGCTAGGAAACCAAGGGATTCTAACAGAGGGATTTGAATCCCTTCACCCATACCCCAAAAAAAGCAACGTCCCCATTTCTGGGCAGCTAAAAGCCATGCTGTCATCTCCTGGCTGGGTGCCCTTTGTGCTTCCTGATGCTGTGTTCTTCCTGCTAATGCTTTTCCAGGCCTTGGGCTATTTCCATCATGAGGGAAGAGAAAGCAACCCACAGCCTCATCTGCTAGATGTCCTGCACAATGCAGAGCCCTTCCAACCAGAGCAATGAGGCTCAGGTTTCCTTCATCAGAAGAAATTCCCCACAGTCCTGAGGGGTCTGCAGTGGGAATTTTAATTTGTGCTTTAAAGAAGCCATTCAGAAACATGATTTGTGTGGGACAAAAATCTTCCCAGAAGCATTTTTACATCGCGTGTGAAAAGAAGTAATAAACCTATTTCTGCTAGCAGATAACAGGGTCTGCAGCAAGAACACATCTGCCCATGCTCTGCACAGAGCCCAAGCCAAGCACAGCATCCAAACACTGTGCTAAGATGTAATTAGGGCAGAGTCAGGGACAAAGGTGGAGGGGAAATGACATCCCAAGCAAAGCTGCCATAGGCAAACCACCTTTTGAGATGGATCACCATTAGTCACCATTTGCTCCTGACTGCTGAGCAATAGGTTTACAAATGGGACAAACTGTGACTGGAGCATCCGTGGTTACCAGCTGCCACAAAAGGCATCTCTTGACTTCCCCATTGCTAAACTGATCAACATTTGGCTCACAGTGATACCGTGAGCAGCCCGTGATTAATTCATGTTTGGAAACCTCAGGGGATTCCCCAGGTGATAAGCTGACTACAGCAATGAATGTATTAGATGAATAAACTTTGTGATTAAATAATATCACGTTAATAATGAGCTTAGGCATGAAGTGATCAACATATGTTTCTCAAAGCAGCCTGGATGCATTTTTCACATTTCTTTTTCTCTATGGGGGGATGATGGGGGTGGTTTTCTTGGCATTCCTTGTTACCTTTGACACAAACTCACGTGTGCTTTAAGGAAGGCAAGTGCAGTAGAAATCCAATACCAAACAGAGTATTAGAAAGTAATAAAATGACTTAAACATTCTTGGTTACCTCTGGCAACGATGTGAAGAAGAGATCCAAAAGGACATAAAGTATAATTCCAAATTATTAGCTGCTATAACAGCAACGCTTCCACTCGCAGCTCTCAGAGCTTCTCACAAAGCTGACATCATTACATCCCCTTCTATCCCTTGGGAGGTGCCTTTGTTTTTCCTTGCTTTTCCAGCAGGGAAACTGAGGCACAAAGGGAAAAAAAAGTGGTGCCTGCTGCACTGAATCTGATTGGTGTGCTGAGTGGCCAAGAATGGCTCAGTAATTCCTAGGAACCCACCTTGCATCAGGAATAGCTGCATGCGTGTGTGTGCAATACAAAGAGGACTCAATACTGAGAAAATAGCTTATACAGCCCCAAATTAGGCTGTTGGGGGCCCTACACTATGTGCCACTGCAGTGATGCTCAACGTGAGCTTTCCAAGGGTCAGGACTGGAAATGGGAAGTCCCAGTGCTATTCCTGATGGCCACAGCATTGATGGGAAGAAGCTTACCCTGATTCTGTGTCCCATTATCATGGGATAAATGCATTTTTCCCTCCTTTGCAGCAGTGTTTGGAGGATTCATTACACAGCAGTGCCAAAACGTGCAGAGCCAGGAGCTGGAGGTGTGCAAAGCATAGTTGTTATTATTTATTAAATCTGACCCAGGCTGTGTTTGAGGTGGAGTGAAATTGGTACTTGCCTTGATGAGACGAGCCCTGCCCAAACACAGGCTGGCACAGACACAAACTGCTTCTCATTCGACTCCTTCCAGAACCATCAGCAGCCTGACAAGGTCAGCAGCAGCTGCCAAACCTCCTTCCAGAGGAGCACAGAGTTCTCTAGAATTTCAAACAAGCAGCGGGTGTGCCTCCAAGGAAAGGGGCCTGCAGGGGGAGGTGGGATTTCACATCCCCCTCCATGTCTTTGTCTTCTGCAAGATGCTTTATTTTTAGAGGTTAAAATTGAGATGAGGTAAAAGCCAAGCACTTATTATTAGTGGCACTCTTTGGACTGATATATATATATATATATATTTTACAAGAGGGGAAAGTGCTGCATTCATTCCACTGTGGGTAACCCTACAGCAAGCATTTTAGTCTCACCTCCTTTTGTTGGCTGTAAGATGCAAAAAAAAAAAAGAAAAAGAAGGAATCTGACACAGACAGGCAGCAAAGCTAGCCAAGCTCCAAAGCCAAGCTATTATTAGCCTCTTTGAATAACCATCCAAAACCTTCTGTGCCCTCTGGTCTTTACCGTTCTTCCGCCTTTCTTCAAAAAATTAAGCATACTTTGCATCTCTCCGTCAGAGTGAGGAAGCAGCACCATGGCAACAGCTCCATGGTGACAATATCCCTGACAACCAGGTCCTGCAACTGCCACTGCTTCCAGTTCTGAATGCCATGATTCGCCTGGCTTTGTGGAAACAGCCTGGAACCAGTTGTGAGATGGTTACGAGCCAATCGTTCCTGAGGATAATGAGCAGGGCATGCAGGATACGTGGGAGATGTGAGCACTGAAACTGGGCAGTGTCATCATATATCAACTCAGCAACCCACCTCAGCTGGAGCGTGGGCTGGGAAGGGGTGAGTCTGGGTGAGATGCTTCCTCTGGGTGAGATGGTCCCATCTCAAAGTGGACACCTGCTAGAACATTCAACCTAAACCTGGGGAGATAAATGGTGGGGAGAACAGTGGAGGGAAGTGAAGCCCAGCAGGAGCCTGGAGGGACACGCAGGAAATCTTCCCAGCCCCCTAAATCCTGTTGCTGTCAGTTAAGTGTGGTCACTATTACATGAGCACTACCAGACAAAGGACTCTGCCCTCCCTCAATTACACACACAGCAGTGGGATGCCTGGAGCCATACAGCACTAATTTGGGATTAAGTTGCACCTGAGGCTGTAGAGGTTTGGTGGTTGATGGCCTGGCTAGACAGTGCTGCTGCCATCTGCTTCTCCTTTGCTCTTTTCTCTATTAGCTCTCCAAACAAACCCTCTACCCCAAGTACCACATGCTGGCCAGGCACTGTGCTGTTCATTGAAAAATTAACAGCCACCACGGCTTTCAAGCTCTGTTGCATAACAATTTCTGATCAAACCAGCCTTTCTCGTTGCATTTCCATCAATCTTGTGCATGCTAATACTCAGCCTATGGTCTTCTGTACCTCTGTTCATCCTCTTCAAAATACCTGGTTCTCCACATGGACAGCACTGCCTCTCATTGCTCCCTTTTTCCTCCAAGAGAGGAACCAATTCAGCTGATATTGAGCCCATTGGCCCCTACAGTCTATTATTATCATACAGTGATAGAAAAGACCTCTATGATCAAGTCCAAGCCCAACCCACCCCCACCATGCCCACTGACCATGTCTCTCAGTGCCACACAGTTCTTGAACACCTGCAGGGATAGTGACCCCACCACCTCCCTGGGCAGCCTGTGCCAGTGCATCACCACTTCTTTCAGAGAAGAAATCTTTCATAATATCCAACTGGAACCACTGGCACAGCTGTGTTCAGTAGCAGGATGAAGGCAGTGCATATCCCATCTTCCTTACGCCCAGGAGTGTTTCTGGTTTTATTGATACTGGTATGGACCAGAAAGCAACCTTAGAGAGATGCCCTTCTGTTAGCCTCAGAGCCAGGTGCTACCTGCCCTCACCCACCCTTACCAAGTTTCTGAGTGGATTCGTTTGCCTCCTTGAGGGCTTCAGACAGTGTGAGCAGTGCATCTTGCACAGTGCAGCTCCTTGGTCCCCTTGTTATTTACTTCTGTGCCTCACAGTGAGCTCGCTGCCCTCCGTCTGTGTGCAGTGGGGAAGGAGTTCCTGCAGTCCCTGCTGGCTGCAGCACTCACACAAAGGACAAGTCAACGTTTATCTGGTTCTTTGGTATGTGTATCACCACCTTTACAGCTCAGCAGAGAAGACTTTCTGCAGCTGGAGTTCCATGCCTTGGAATATCATAATTCAAGGGTGGGTCTGAAGAGGCTGGGGAGAGTGCTGTCTGAGTGGGAGCAGAGCATGGGAGCTGGTGCTCCTGGGTCGTATCCTTACCTCTGGCAGTGGCTCAGCCCTCCCATCAGAAATTGCTCATGCTCGCACCCTGCCTTGGCTTCCCCATCTGTAAAATGGAGCTGCTTTCACAAAGCTGCACTGTGAACTCGAGTTAATGACAACTGCAACACATTCAAATATCTTCAGATCAAAGATACTGTGAACAGATTACTGGTAATGCTTGCCAGAGATTTATTAGCACACCCCCAGTGATGACAAGTCAATAGCCTTCCCAAGCATAAATGCTCGACACAGTGCAAACACTGACCTAGATTTTGAGTAATTATGCTGGAAACAGGCACATGTGATGCTTTTGCTCTCTGGCTTTCAAGTCAGCAGCATTCAGATAAGTAGAGAATATATAGTTACCTTTAGTTTCAGAGTTGTCCCTTCCCTTTTCCCACTCTCACAGTGTTCTCTTAAATATGAACCCCTTGGGGTCCTTACATAGACATACTGAGCCTTGGTCATCCTGATATCAGTGAGACATGTGCAGACCTCCAAGACAGGGCAGGGACTAATGTAAAAGGAATGGAAAGGTCAAAAAGATGGAAGCAACTCCCTCCAGACGAACTAATTAAATTAATTCCTATTTTATCTTATTGTGGTTTTAGTTCTTAAAAACCTTTCTTCTTTGCTTAAAAGGCAAGAGCTGCCCTTCAGAGCAATAATCATGGCTTGAGGGAATCACAGCAAGTGTCAGGAAGGTGAGATTCAGTGCCTGGACTCACTGACTGCCTGTGAATATAGGTGCCTCTCAGATATGCTTGTCCTTGTTCCACATCTCCTGAGAAACCAGAGTTCACAGTTTGTGTCTGCTCTACAAAGGAGTCAAAAGACTGAGCTGATGCCACGGAGGAACTCAGAGATGCACAGATGGGATACCCTCAGTCCAGTACAAACAAGAAACAGTGGAACTTAAAGGGTCTTATCTATGTTCATCCTATTCAGCACTGCAAGCTGGGAAAGAAGTGTGGCAACTTGGAAGAACAGCACCGAACAGAGATGGATGGAAAGAGAGAAAGCTGCCATTAGGTGGAGTGTCTCTAATGACTCACTTCTGCAGTCCTGGCTTGCTGCATAGCAAGCATCCCCAACCCAGCCACATGGTGCTAGGACCTACCAAAGTAGGTTTGTGTGCACAAACCGCCCACTGACCTGCAGCCTGCTTTGCCTTGGCTGAATGCTGCAACATGAATCAACAGAAGCAATGCTATTTACCAAAAGCACCACCTGGCCATGATTCTTGGCAGAGCATCATGATACATCTTGCTGCAGAGAAAGCTGGCATTTGACACTTCAGCTCCCACCACATACGGCTCCACAACAAGGCAGCAAAGGCTGAGCAGCCTCTACTGGGGAGGAAAGCAGGGAGAATGAACTATCATATGTGCTTACAAAGCAAGTCAGTAAACAGCATCAGGAGCCCTACTGCTCTGAGCCCTGGTGGCAATTGCCATACAGCAAGAAAGCTACCAAGCTGCATTAGCATCAAGGCCTAAGCTGACAAAGGCTCAGGGGAAAGGGACCTGAGCCAGCTAAGATTTAAAGGCCATGCATATGCAAGGACCTCAAGCAGATATGTGATTTTAAAACTCACTCCCACAAAATTCAATAGGATTTCATGAATATGCCTAGTGCTAAGAATATGCTTTACCTAACTTGCTAAGTTGGAACAGTTTGCTGAACAGGAATCAGAATGAAGAAATATCTTGGTTAAACCAGTTGCACTGGTATGGCCAGTAGGATGAACAAGATCCAGAGATATGCCAGCAAGGAGTAAAGTAGGCAGTTAATGCTACAAGCAGCTATGCTTGAACCCCTGGATGCCTTGCTGTCCCAAACACTTGTGATGAAAGACCTGGAGTGCCTCTTGCTAAGCCAGGTATGTGCAGTATGCACAGATTTTGCAGGCTGGCTCCATCTGCATTGCTTAGCAAAGAGCACTTGGTGCAGGGCAACACCAACAAACCAAAGCCCAACAGAAACACCAGGCACTAAGCAAGTGTCTCCATCACAGCTGAGCATCCCAGGCCTGGACAAAGTGAGGAAAAGGGTTGTTTCCCAGGTCACAGTAGGTCAGGCTGCAGGTTGCCAAACTCCTCTAAATAGAAATATGTTTACTATGCTTTTATACAAACAAAAAGAGAGGAAAGCCAGGCAGGAAACTAAAGGCAAAGTATTTTGGAGGACTGCATCACCACTGCATCTCTTTCATTCCAGGCATTGCCTAATGCAAGGACACCATACATGTCCTTGTCTGTGGAAATGCATTGCTCTGTGACAATCCCATCTCTTTGAATCCCATGCAATCACACATTACCAGAAACTACATCATCACAAATATTTAAGATCACAAATTAATGCTCAACTCCTAACCCTTAGCAACCTAATGAAATGAGTGCTGTGGCACAGAAGTGAATTTAGCCCATGAGACAAGTGATCAATTAGACCATTAAAATGAAGGCTGTGTACCTTGTCACCAGTCTATGCAACATAAGGCTATAGAAAAAAACTTCCTGATGTCTGGGATGGCATTCAGACTCAGGGCCGACCAGTCATTGGAATTCCATAGAAAAACTGTTCTGGGGGAAAAAAAAAAAAAAAAAGCACTACTGACAGATGTGAGGGAGATGCTGCTATGCTGCATGAGCTCCTGCCTGGAACCAGAAGTGGCTGGACTGCAGATGTGTGCAAGATTTTGTTTAGTCTACCATGGTTATTGCTGCAGAGCAATCTTTCAACCCCGAAATAACCACTCTCCCTCACACATGCATAGCTGCATGCACACACACACAATCTGGCTGGAGATGCTGAGCCTGTGTGCTTGAAACTTGGAAAATGGCAGTAAGGGGAGGGCAAGAGAAGAGGAGAGAAGGGCTTTGGGCCTCTCGTGGGTGAAATTCCAGCTGATGGGAACCTCTGCTGTTTCCAGGCACGTGCACCCTCCAGTTCTGGACAGCCAGACTTGGGGCTGTCCTGGCTCAGGCCTCACTCCCTGCTCCTCTCCTGCTCCATGCCATAAGCTGGTTGTGCACCTGGCCTTGCTCTGAAGCCTCCTTGTCCCTCAGCAGCCTCTGAAATGCCAACTGAGAGAGAAAAGAGGGACTGTGGCAGGAAAGCCGCTCAGACAAATGCCAACTTTGCAAACTGCCAATGGCAGGTGTCCCTTCAGTGCGGCGGCAGTGACAAACATCCCCCCGAATGCCCACACACACTCCAGCCCTTGTTCCAGCAGCACAGAGCAGAGGAGCACACAGGGCCCATTCTGCAGGCACGGCACCATCCTGCACTGCCTGACAGTGCATCCCCAACCCACCCAGGGCTGCAGACAAGGCCTCCTCTTATGGCCTCTGCCACAGCAGCCCTGCTGTGTGCCCTGCACTGGAGCTGTTCCCCAAGGCTGGTTGTCCCCAGCTCTCCCTGTTTGGCTAGATGTCCCAGCCAAGTCACGACCCGCTTTTTGGGAGCCCTCAAGGCACTGAAGGCATTTTGGTGGTGCTTCAGAAGGGCTGAACGGGCTTGTGGCCCCGCTGCCCCAACCTTCCCGTGGGTGGAGAAGTTCTGTGCTGCTGGAAAACTGATGAAAGCTGCTAGCAGAAACATTATCATCAAAATTGATGGCAAAATAAAGTGGGAATTCACAGATTCGCAGCCTGCCAGCAGCAGGGCTGGTTGGGACCATCTGGCCTGACTTGCATCACCGAGCCAGTAGCTCTCAGGCAGTCGTGCCAAGAGCAGCTCGAGCTCACTGACATCTCACACGAACACATGGGGTGGGAATGGGGCAGAGCTGAGCATCCTCCTCCTCAGCCTCAAAGCACACAGTGCTGACCCCATCCGTGGGTTCCACCTCACCAACAGCTGCTTTGACCCTGAGGACAGCAATCTTCAGAACAACACCAATCTGGGAAAAAAAACACCCATGAGTTTCCGGCAGCCCTTGAATCTCTATCTTGGTTCCAGAAGGAGCAGCATCCCGTTAGCTAAGGCAGAGGGAGATCTACCACTTTCACTGGATAATCCCTTAATTAGTGCAGCCTCCAAAATAATCCTACAGAGCGGTTTGCGCACACAGTGCAGGTTAAAACAAGCTGTGCCACAGATCCCAGGGCAATGGGCAGCGTGTCATTCTTAGGTGCCTTTGTGTTAGTTGATTAGCTTCCTTTTACATCTGCTAGAGCAGGTTGTGCCCCAGCCCCCCATCTTTACACAGCACTAATGGGCCTTTGCTCAATACATTAAACCACGCTGGATTTAAAGGCCAGTAAAACCTTTTGACTAATTTCTAAGACCACGCGTGCCATTCAAAGCA